TTGCAGTGGATATTGTTTGAGAGCAGACTGAGGAAGATGGCTGGGTCCTTTGCTTGGCAGTGCAGCCAGGAGGAGCAACACAAGTATTACAGGTGGTCCTTGCCTGTGGAGCCCTGGCTGGGGGTGGAAGGGGCTGTGCTCAGGAGCTTTGGCAGAACTGTGAGGCTGTTTCTCAGTAAATTAAGATTACTGGTCTTCTGGCACCACTAGTTTGGGAACAGAGGCAGGAGAGAGATGTGAGAGTTACTATGGGGACACTTTTCTCAGGCACAAAGCAGCAGGTTGCAAGGGGCTCCCAGCCACTCCTGCTGTCTGTGGTCTTGCAGCCCTTGCTTGACATGGCAGAAGTGAAAACCCTGGGAATGCTGTGCTGCAAAGCAGTGCTCACACTGCCCAAGTTCTTATGCTCACAGGTAGCTATGCAGTAAGAGAGCCAGGTAAGATATGCAGCAAAAGAAACAACCCATTCCTCCTTCTGGGTCTTTGTCTGATTTGTTTGTAATTGCTGAGTTCATAAGTGCCTGATGGCTAGCAGTCAAGTCTGCTAATTACAGGGCTTGCCTGACTGCAATTTCTCAGTACACAGGGCTTGAATTCATCCATTCTGCAGAAAAAAAGGTGAACGGCAAGCTATGACAGCAATCCTGATGGTAGTATGTTCACCAGATTCCCCTCTCTGTCTGCTGAGACAGATCCCTCATTTGACCATACCTTTCCCTGCACAGAGTAAAAGCAGCTGTTTTTTTTCCAGGAGTGTATGAAGAAGGAAAGGCATAGCAAGAATAGGGGAATGGCAGACATTCTGGGGTTACAGCTGTCTGTCCAGCACTGAGGCTTTGCAGAAGGAGCAATAGGTGATACCTACAGAATACCTGTGGGTTTTCAGCTCTGATGAAAATCTCAGTGTTTGGGCAAATTTGCTTGTGCAACTTCTGCTAGCAGGACAGCAGATCTATGCTTCTAATGCACCCAAGGGATGTGGAACAGTTCTCTCTGACACATCCAGAGCTTCCTGAGAGCTGTGTGAACAGAGGATGTGGGAAACTGGGTCTTCTGTCCCCCCAAACCAAACACCAAGGGATGGCCTGTTTGCTGGCTTGTGTGGGAAGTAGGTCTTAACTACCCCTCTTTAATAAGAGATTTCAAGGCTCTGTGTGCTGTGCTGGCCACCAGGCTCTGTCACTTCAGCCTACAGCCACTTACTCTGCTTACTCACCTCCCTGCTCCTGCTGGCCAGGCTATTTCTGATACAACCCAGGATGCTGTTGGCCTTCTTGGCTACCTGGGCACACTGCTGGCTACTTTTCAGCCATCTGCCTACCAACAGCCCCAGGTCCATTTCTGCTAGGTAACTTTCCAGCTACTCTTCCCAGTCCATATATATACAAGTGGCTTTACTCTTCCATCAGCTCCTTCAGCACTCTTGGGTGGATCCCAACTGGTCCCATAGATCTGTGTGTCCAGTGGTGTGGTATGCTGTTAAATACTGTTTCCTTTGGATTGTAAGGAATTCATTCTGTTCCTTGCCTTTGTCTTCCAGTTCAGTGGGTTGAGTACCCCAAGAAAAATCAGTCTTACCGATAGTAACTGAGGTAAAGAAGGCATTCAGTACCTCAGCCTTTTCCTCACTTGACTTCTTCCTTGTCAGTTCATGTTTCAGCACAGGGGCAGCCTGGTCTGGTGCCTTCAGAATTTCATCACTGAAAAAAATCCTTCTAGGACTCCTTTGCCCTTTAGAACTTGCTCACAAAGGTTTCTGCCATCCAGGTCTCTAAACAGGCCAAAATCTGTCCTCCCCAAAGTCTAAAGTAGGACAGTTCTACCAACTGTCCTCCTTGCCACCCCCAAGGATGGAGAACACCATCATCTCATTATCACTGTGCCTCCAACCATCACATCACCCACAACATCTCCCTCTTAACAAACAACAGGCACTTTCCCTAGTCAGTTCTCTGACTACCTGTGTCAGGAAATCATGTTAGATGGGAAGGTGCTGCCTTTGCCTTCCTGAGATCTTGGGACTGAGCAGGAGCTTACCAGCAGTGCTGGAGGTACCCAGCCTAGGTACACTGAGCTTTTGAAACCCCTGCCTGTGGCTCTTTCTCACAGCTGCATCTGGCAGCAGAGTTTTTTATGTGATGGATAACACAGCTAGTGGCATCTGCTAATGCATTTCTGGATCTGGGTTTTCTCCTAGGAACAAAGACTCTTTCCCATGTCACTCTGTAGCTGAGCTGCATGGGGAGTGAAGGATTTCTGCTAGCTTTTGTTTAGGGGAGGCAGGAAAGTATCTATCTTCTGCAAAACAAACCATGTAAATTTGGTGGGGAAACTTAATATTGTTAAAATCTTTGCGCTTCTTTTGGTGGAAAAACAAAACAAAAACATAAACAACACAGTTGCTTTAGATTTAGATTCCTGCTGGTTTGAGCATGCCAGGAGCTTTCCAACAGGACTAATGAACAATGATAGATGTGCCACAGCTTGATTAGTTCTTGTCTGGTGGCTTCTGCACAGACAATTATTTTTGCTCAGGAAAAGGCTGCTGGTGAGAAAGCCCTAGCAGTAATGTTGCTAAAGATCTTTGCTATCAATCTGATTCAAGCAGAAGAAAATCGACCCTGAATTCCTTATTGATGAAGGTGAGGCAAAGAAAGTGCTTCCTGTTGGGACGGGGCAGCTGGAAGCTGTGCAGTTAGCTGCAGAACTGAGCAGAGGGACTTCAGCAATACTAATGAAGGATGGGATGCAGAGGGTCCACCTTGGAGCTGTATTCTGAAAAACTCGTATCTGTTCATGACCCGAGCTAGAAACAGCAGTCCTTGGTCATCAGCCAAAGGAGAGCGTGCGCTCCGCATGAGTTACACCGGTTATCTGTGGTGCAGGCACCATAGGTGACATCATGTAAAAAGCCTATCTGGAGCCTCAAAGAAAAATTATCTTCAGACAAAAAGACCTTTATAGTTGGTCAGACCAGAAGGACAGAGTTGCTGAAAATGAATAAAAGAATAAAGTCCTGTGTTGTTGGCAAGGGCACAGCGGGAGTCAAGAACCAGGCTTCATGATTCCTTCTCCCTGAGCCAAGGGTTTCCTCTGCCTGGTTTGTTCTTGAGCTGTCTGGTTCTGTTTATGCACCCAGGGATGCATCACTGCCAGAGGTGGGAACTATAAACTTTGGAGTATCTACTGTTCTATTGTTTTATGAGAGCTGTCTGGGTATTTCTGGGCTGCAGAGAGCTCTCTGCCATTTGTTTCAGCTGCCTAGCACAGGCACCAGGGGGTTCTTTCCATGGCAGAAACCAAACCATAAAGCAGTTTGTTTATGGCACTCACCATTAGCTGAATTTACTACTGCTGCCAAGAGTAAACCTGGAGAGTCGTGTATTGGTTTCAAACAGGCTGGAAATTGTTGTCCAGCTTGTTAAGTCCAACTCTTGTGAATGAAGAGAAGTTGCCCTGGTGGTAGAGAAGTGGGAAGGATTGGAGAATAGTATGTTCTTTAAAGAGGACAAAATAAGGCAATTGGGTGTAGGAGTCCAGACTCTGTATCTAAGAAGCTTCCTTAAGAATTAGGATGAGGGGTCCTCACAGAAGTGCTTCACTGATGGAAGTGCTCAGGATCTGCTGGGCAAGCTGCTGCCCTGGAAGCCCTTCTTAGCAAGCCAGCAACTGCAGCTCTGCAGAGAGTCTCCCCTTGAATTCTTGCTGCCCAGCTCTGGTTGGAGTGTAGAGTCTTTGGGACAGGAACCACAACCTCTGCACTGGGTTCCTGCATGCTGTGCACGTGTGGTGAGGGGCCATACCTGGGGTTTTCAAGATGACCTGCAGTGGAACTGGTAGCAGTGCTGGACAAGTAGCAGGGCTTTGCCAGTGGGACTGAGAATGCATCAAGCTGGTTTGGAGGTCCACTTATGTTTTGCTCAGTAAAGGATCCAGTCTTAGAACTGGAAGGAAAGTATATGTTGCTCCTGTGTTCAGCCCTATAGGACTGCAATCACTTGTTGAAAAGGCAAGAGAGCCTCTGAGTTAATGGGGAGAGTTGGCTGGACTGCACTGAACACAGCAAGGAGGTAATGGTAAATTATTCCCAGTCTTGGGTGCAAGTCTCTGGTGTGGGGTCTGTTGTGTTTGCAGGTTTTCTCAGACCTGTTTTTCAGATCAAACTCAGTCAGCTGGAGAGGCTTTCTCCATCTCCAGTAATTTAGTAACGGCAGGAAGGCATCTACTAACATCTAATCAGCCTCAGAAAAGGAGATGAGAGTTTTCTTCCCTGAAGCTACAGGATTGCATGTTTGGCACTCAGCATGCCCTGAAGACAACCATCTGCTGCACTGTGGAGAGAGAGCATCCCTTTTGCAAAGACTCAGCTATGCAGGCGGGACAAACCATAACTGAACTACCCAGCTCACTCTGAGCACTGGCTGCTTGACTGCCCATGGGGCAGCCAGAGAGCAATGGATGGGCAAAGCTGCTTTTATATGTTGTAGATTCTGAGCTGTGGCTGATGGAGCATCTTCTGAGAAAAATAACATCTGTGTTGCAGAGTGATTGATCTGACATGAAGAGACGTGCAGGCAGGGTAAGGGAAAGCCTGTACATCTCTGGGCAGTGACTCTTTGCATGTGTGGTTTCCTAGGCAGGAGTTTGATGGCTTGAGGTGAAGGAGAGCATGTGACCATAGGACCATATGTTAATGCAGCAAGATGATGATGGTGACCTCTTGGCAAACCCTGGACCAACCCCATCCAGAAACTCTTCCTCTGAACCTCCTCCTGCCTGGGCCTGGTCTGAGGATGAACGGAGAGGCTCAGTGATCATGTCAGTAAGCACGGCTGTGGTGTGGGAGTGGGGATGCGAGGCAGGGTTTGGCTCTGTAGAAATTACTGGATAGTAATTTTTGTAGTACACTGATTTATACCAGTTAAGAAAAAGGCCACACGGAGGTGTAGGTAGTCCATTCCAATCCCAGATCACCATCAGAAGCCCCTCTATTGCCTGGATTAGGGAAGTACATTTATTTACTCTGGGTCAGAAAAACATCTCCCTAGTATTTACAGCAGCAACATCGCACACATACAGACAACTCACAGCCCACACCACAGGAAAGGACTTGGCCACCAGGAGAGCAGCGCAGCCAGTACAGAAGCCACCACTGTAACCATCCACAGGCAATGCTGGTTGCTCTCTGTCCCGCCTTTGTTCACCTGGCCCTGCTCATGCTGCCTGTCTCCCTTGCTACTCCATAAGAAACACTTTGTCCAGATCAGACAACAGGAAGCAAGAAGGGACCATCTGACAGCAAACAAATGTGTCCAACGTAGTGGGGCTGTTAAGCAGAGGACTTAGAAGGATGAGAGTCAACAGAAGAGCTGGAGCATTAGTCCTTGAACTGCAGGTGGGCTGTGGATCAGGAGCAAGTGTGGGTCCATTCCTTCCCTTATACACAAGATGTGGGGAGGTGGCTTAGGAGGACAATTGGTACCCAGAAAGAAGAGGAACAGCAAGGCTAGAAGCGGGATATAGCAAGGTTTCTGTCTTGCCTTTCCTATCATCCTGTCTCATTCAATGGGAGAGAGTGACCTGAGGCAGATGGCACAGCTGGGCTGGTAGATGGTGTGGAGCTACTAAGAAAGGTGAAGATGCTTGGAAGAACCAGAGGGGACTGCCAGGGAGTCTGGATTCAGCTCACACCTGTTATTTTCTTCATGCACCTGGGACACTTCAGTGGAGCCTGCCTCAAAGCCAGGCACAATGTGAGCAGCATGTAACACATGCACCTTGTTGCGGTGCTTTTTCCTCAGGAGACAGCTGAAGACTTTTTTGAAGCCCTTACGGAAATGCTTGGATACCAGGGCATAGACGATGGGGTTGAGGCAGGAGTTGGCATAGGCCATGCAGTGGGAAAGCAGACGGAAGGCGTAGGTGGCCTGGTTGAAAGGGAAATCTCCATAGAGGTATCGAAGGATGACTACGTGGTAGGGTAGCCAGCACAGGCAAAAAAGGATGGTTACGATGATGATCATTTTAGTTACCTTCCGCTTGGCCTTCTTGGACTCTGACATGTCCTCCAAGGGTTCCACTGCTGTCCACAGGTACTTGATGGTCCTGGTGTAGGAGAGGCTGATGACCAGAACTGGGATGACATAGCCAAAGGCAAACGTGCTGGTGTCCATGACCTTGCGTCTCCACTCCTCCCAGCCAGGCATGCAGATGTAGCTGGACTCCCACTCAATCAGGTCATAGTAGCTCAGGTAGGGCCCAGCAAAGACCACAGAGAGACCCCAGATCACAGCCATGGCAGCCACTGCGTTGTAGGGGGTTCGCAGCTCCCGGGAGCGCAGCGGATAGCGGATGGCCAGGTACCTGCAGGAGAGAGCAAAGCAACTGGAGCTAAGATTTCAGTCAAGCCTGGCCACACAAACACCAGGAACAAGAGGGCTTCCTTCATTCTCCTGAAGAACCCTGGGTGGCCCTACATGGTATCTCATGGCCCCTTAGAAATATGGTCCTGCGTAAAACAGCTGTTCTCTTTGTAGTAAGGATGTGTCTCCTCTCATAGGTGTGGGCTGGCTGACTCATCTGCATATGATGGGGTGGGTTATATGCTTGATCTAGAAAGAAATAGGGCTGTGGAGACCATACAGATATTCACTGCTTGGTGGAATTTGTCTAGCAGTTCCAAGATTAGAGGAAGCTTCACTTGGTGATGGATGCAGTGCTGGCTCCTGCCCAGTCAGGGCCCATTTTCAGCCCTCTCTGGCTTTCACAGATTCGACTGGCAAGGGAAAGATTGGCTCCCTTTAGCTAAGGTTGTCTGCCTCGACCTGAGTACCAAAAGGGCCAGGCAGTCTTTGGGAACCTGTCTCTTCCATCAGCAGTGGCCAGTGTGACGGCCAGCTTTGCTTATCCACCTCCAGGCAACACTGCAGGACAAAGCTGGCAGAACTGCCTTTGGGGTGGTCTATGCTGTTGCACGCATTAGGTAGGAGAGGGAACAAGCAGCAAATGGGAATCTCTTTTCCCATGTCTGCTTTGCACTCCTGCAAAGTAGATGTTAGAAAGAAGGTGGCTTGGTGCTGATGGGTAAGGGACAGAGAAGTGTTGTCAGCACAAACAGGAGCACAACCACTTCAGTCTCCACCTGCCAGCACCCAGGGAAGGACATCCATGTGATGCACTGTCAGGCCAGCAGAGCAGGTTGAATAAAACAGGCAGTTGGTCAAAAGGGTCACACATGTGGCAAAACTCTTGTTGCTTGCTGGTCCTTTCATCCTGAAAGCTCCAAGCAGCTGTGTAGGAGTCATGCAACGTTATGCTGAAATGCAGATGCTGCACAACAGCACAAAAGTGCCACCACAAAGGGAAAGGACACATGCACAAATGCCCTGCCAACACGTCTTTTGGGCGGGTGTTTTTGAGATTGTGCCCCAGTTCTGAGCAGGCGGGAGCAGCAGACTGCAGACAGGTGATGTAGGTACAGGAAAGCAGGAGGCTGAAATGCTGCCGTAAGAGTTGTCCATCTGTCATGGTTGTCAGTGCTGGCCTTGAGCTGCTGGCTGGTGTTGGTCAGGAGGATCACAGGCCTTGGCTGAGGGGTGCCCGGCACAGAGAATGTGTAGACAAGGTGGAGCATGAGAAATCTCAGATTTTTTGTGACAACAGCTAGAGTACATAAGCACTAGAAACCAGAGGAGTGTGATGTTTTTGTTGGGAATCCTGCACCATCACCCCATCTGGGATGCTAGCCTCTTGGAGTGGAACAACTGCCAGATACCAGGGCCCTGCAAGCATCACCAGAGAGCAGGATGAAGTGAAAGGAGACTGGAGGAATAGACTGACCACGCTACTCACTGGGACTTCATCCATCCCAGAGGTTCCCTATTATTGGGACCTGGGAGCACAGGTGCTGAAGTGTCCTTCTGCCTGCAGCCTTGTGATCCTCTTTATTGCAGAGGGCTGTTTGACCCTGTCCTGTCTTACTACCCTTGGAAGCAAGCACAAAGAGCAAGATGGGCCAGAGCACATACTGTGTATGGCAGGTGAGGCTGAGTCTTACTCCAGCATGGAGCTCCTCCTCATCCCACACCACCAGCGCGGACTCAGTCAGTAGTGGGGCAGCTGACAGCAGTCACCCTGAGGGAGAACTAGGCAATGTCCTTGGGAACAATTTAGATGCCATCAATAAGGCCAGAGCAGCCTAGGCAGTTTTCCAGGAAGAAACATGCCTCGTGGCATGGCTGCCCTCCTGCATAGGTGCTGTGGGACGCTTTTCCCAGAAGGGCTGGGAAAGGTGAGGCAGCAGGAACTGTTAGGTGACAGGTTTTGTGCTGGGCTGGCAGCTGCAGGAGAATGAGCGATCCCTCTTGTGCATTTATGTGGCATCCCCCACCGTGCCCTCGGTTCACCTTGCTGTCCCCACATGAAACTTTTCTGCAGTAGTGGCTTGGAGATAGACATTACCTCACAGTGTCACCTCTGATCTGGAGCTAGGTGATGAGCAGTGGGTGTTTCTGGCAGAGGGTGGAGCTGAGTTTCTCAAGCACCCTAACCTGTCTGGGAAGCACAGACAGGAGCAGCACTGGCTCTGCACTCAGCAGAGCTGGAAGTGCTGCTTGGGGTTGTTAGAGGACGGGAAACCCAGTCCCCAGACTGCCTTTGGAACAGACCATTGCCACTGTGGTTTGAGCGATTCGCCTAAAGGTGATAGGCCATGACCTTCCCATGCTCTCACTCTACCCAGTTTCTCCTGACTGTCCTCCTTCCCCAGCCCCAGCGCATCGTCAGGCCGTTACCTGTCCACAGAGACGGCAGCCAGTGTGAAGCTGCTGGCGTACATGGTGAGGTAGATGAAAAAGTGGACAGCCTTGCAGATGAAGGAGCCGAAGACCCAGCCCTCAAGGGAGTAGATGGTGGCCTGGAAAGGCACGCAGAAGACAATGAAGAAGAAGTCAGCCAGGCTGAGGTTGAGGATGAAGAGGTTGGTAGTGTTGTGGCCCATTTGCCTATTGCGCAGCAGCACTGCCAGCACCAGGCTGTTGCCAACTGTGCCCAGGAGGAAGATGAGGGAGAAGACCACAGGGACAATGACACTAGCAGGGCTGAACTGGTAACTGTCAGAGGAATTCCAGTACCCAGCCAAGCTGGTGAAGTCCTCGTGCTCCATCGTTCTGTGCCGTGGTGAGGTGCTGGAGCCTGTGGCAACACAGGGAGAGAGGTGAGAGACTGGAGAAGTGCTTCTTGGCCTGTAAGGTTGGCTGATGGATCTGTTGGCTGGCAGGACACAGACAGCTCCGCTCTCAGCTCTGAGACACACATGCATTTCAGCAGGTTCTTCTGGTCACTGCTGGCCTGTAGGATAGGTGTGGGTAAGGTGGGAGAAAAGGGTTCTGTGCTCCCCCATTCTGGCCCTGGAAGGAATCCATACCCCAGGCTCAGATGTCACCTTGGACCGATGATGCTGGAAGTGAGACCTGGGGGAGTGGATAGCATCTGTCCCCATGGGTGGCACAGCCTCCACTAGTGTGGGAGAAGGGAGACAGAATTTTCACCTTCCAGCTGGTCCAGCTGATGGAAGGAGGGGTGTGAGGTTTGTTCCCAGCAGTGGGGTTTCAACCTCAAACCAACCAGCTGGACAATCTGAGGTGTTTGCTCCACCAATACCGACATACAGTTTTATAGCTTCTGTTTCAGTCCTTTCAGTACCTGCTCCTAGAACAAGCATCACACACTAGATACAGGCTGGAAATGCTTTTGGCAGTGACAGCTACTACCCAGTTCCATGTTGTGCTCAAGTGATGAGTTTTTGGGGGAGGGCAACTCTGATGGGACACTCTACGCTTTGCTTTCAGTGATCCAGAAACATATTCCTTCTCTCTGCCTCACAGGGCAGCTCTCCCCTAGAGCTGAGCTTTCTGCATCAGTCCCCTGCCACCAAAACATGCATTTGGATTGCAAGCTGAAAATGAGGTTGCATGGCGAAACTCTAGTTTTCCATCACAGGCACAGCATGTTTTTTTCATTCTGGAGCTGGAAGAATATATTTTATATCAATCTATCTATGTTCAAAGGCATAGTTTCCCTTGAATAAACTGGAAGACTGGAGTCCTTTTCCCTCTGCAGTGTTTGTACGGGTGTACTGTTGTTACTACTGTGTGGTCCAAGGCTGGCTTACCACAAGTATGGAGATCATGGAATCTCTGCAATTAATCAAGCTCTAGCTTGTGCATTCTGATTCAGGTTTGGGAATTGGCCTGGGAGCACAGGCAGTGCGAGTGACTGAAGCAGAATTGCTGCAAGAGGCATGTGACTGTGGGTGTGCAGGTGCTCCAGGTATCGGTGCAGATTTGGGGATGTCAGTTGCTTGGAGTCACTGCAAACCCTGTTCAACACAACCACTGCTGCAATAAAGAAAGTGTTAAAGGCACGTAAAGGCTACAAAGCAGGATGCAGTCCTTGGCCTCCTGTGGACTTCCCAGCAGCTGCTAGGAGTCAAATGCTCCTCCTAGAGTGACAGCCTCTCCTACATCAGAGAAGGAAGCTATCACTACTCTCTGGAGCCCAGGTCACTGCCCTTCATTTGTAGTCATGCAGATTTCTCCCTTGGACACTTACCAGTCCTGAAGCAGAGGGGTCCTCAAGGCTGAATGTGAATTTGCTTTGCGTTGGGTGCAGCACAGAAACTTGATCTCTGGCTGAGCCTCTTCTCCTTCACAGAAACCTTGAGGTTCGTAGATGTGGAATGGCCTATTTATGCTGCCTGTATGGCAGAGGGATTAACTGAATCCTCCAGAAAAGTGGGCTGACCAGCACTGAGGTGCAAGCTATTTATCTTTGGTAGATGGTAGATGTGATCTCAGCTCTGCATTGGTGTGTGAACACCACCAATTAAAATGGCAGTGTCAGTTCTCAGCATAGCCAAAAGTCCACCCTACAGCCACACCAGAACTGAACACCCCACACTGTATGAATGCATGGGAAGCAGGGGAGCTCACCCAGACCCACCAGGGAGTCTGGTCCCAGTATCTGTCTGAGGGATCAGGGCTGTTGTTACCTAACACCCTCGGGACCAGAGAGCTTCCCTGTGTGCAGCAGAATGTGCTCAGGCTGTTATGGGTGTTGTATTCCTACTGCTACTGGACTGCACTGGCTTAGGCTCAGTGCTATACCCTTGCATACCCTGAGGTCCTTCCATAGTCTGAGAAAGCCAGAAACCAGCTTCGTATTAACATCTACACAGACTGTGCCTGTGCTGCCTGGTAGGGTGACTGCTGTCCCCTCCCCACCATCCTGCTCATCACCAGATGCTCTTCCTCTTGCAAGGCAGATAAGTCACAGTCAGCCCTCTTCAAAGGCTGATCTAAAGAGAACAAAAAGACGGGGAATACCTCCATGCCTCTCTGCAAATCAAAGAAGGTAACCTTGCAAACATCCCCTCACTGCTGTGATCTGCTGTGGGATCACTTCAGAGTGCTGGCACGTCACAGAGCCTGGTTACAGTCTGCATCTGACTTCCCTTGATGTGCATGTGAGAAGTTCATGCTTCACTTGGCAAAAATTGGTTCTGACAGTCAGGGAGCTACTTCTGTTACAATTTATCACTCAGCTACAAGCACAATTCTTGATCCTGTTGGAAAAGGAATTCAGGGAGCTTGGAATGCTCTTAGCAGGGACGGTGGGTGACCAGGAGCATGGTGACTGGCAGGAGGTGCCTGGCTGTGCCTGGCTGTGTGTCTTTCCCACAGCTTCAGGGTTCTACCTGGTCACCCACAATTCATGACCTGTCTGTATAAAGCCCAGCGGTGCTTTGTTTCCCTTTTCACAGGGGAGCTGGGAACGTAAAGTGGTGGCTTAGTAGCTATCAGAGCACCCATTGATGGAGCAGAGAAATGAATATATACGTCTTCTCCGCTAGTTCTGAAGCCCCCCTCTGTGTGCAGTCCTGCCTGCAGAGGCAGGACAGCAATAGCAACAGCACAGAGTGACAGCAGCACTACCCCTTCCAAGGTATGTATGTGTAAGCAGTACACAGTCTCAAGGAGTGACTCAGAGCACCTCTGGTGCAGTGGGATACTCCCAGTCCCAGTTCATCATCTTCCCAGGCAGCCAGCAGGAACCCGAGGGTCTGCTCTAATGTCCCTTGGAAGCATTTTGCAACCGTTCGACACCCTACCATTTTGTGAATGGGTTTATGGCAATGCTCTTGAGTTTCATTTGGTTCCGAACAGCCTTTGCTATCAGAGAATGTGAGAAGGACAGATACCGTGAACAGAAGGAATAAGGAGACTATGGGCAATGGGGTTCCTCTTCCACACCTGCTGCTCAGGACTGGCAGGGGCAAAGGTGCTGTGACAGGGAGAGGTAAAGTTGCCAGGGATGGATGAGACCTGAATCGGTGGCAAAGCTGGAACGGCAAACCAGGAGACACAGGACGGGCAGGGCTCAGGGCTGCGGGCAGCAGCAGGACCGGCACTGACCGTCGGTGGGGCGGCAGCGCGTTCCGGCGGGGACTCGGGACGGCACGGCCAGATCCTGCAGCGAGGGAACGGCAAGGAGAGCGGGAGGAGACGGGGGAGGTGATGGGATGGGGGCTGCGGACCCTCCCTTCGTGTTCTGGACAGACGGGAGCAAACGGAGGAGAGGAGGAGCAGGCGGTTCGAGCTCTCTTTTTTCAATGGGCTGCTCATTCTGCTGCTGTCACTGCTGTTCCCAGCAAAGAGTGCCTCCGTTTCCCCATCTGTGCAGGTACCTCGTTTGTTCTGCCGGGGGACAAACTCGGTGCTCAACCTGGGAACCGCAGCCGCTCCAAAGCATCCGGCAGGCACCGAGCCGGGGCGGGCAGCCGGGTTCTCCCCGGGGCTCCTGCAGCGAGCACGGTCGGGTCTGGGGCTGCGGGTCTGCACCGGGAGCCGCTCCCTCCCCTCGCCGCCCACCCCGCTCCCGGTCGCTTGGCCCGGACGGGCTGCTCGCACGGGCGGCACCCGGGAATTCGGGAGCCCCGTTCCCGCCGGCAGGATCCTACCTGCCACGCTCCGCTGCCGCCTCCGCTCCGCTCCGCTGCCCGGCTGCCCGCCCCGCCCCGGCCCCGCCGCACACCTTTATGGACGCACGCACCCCGGCACACGCTCACACGCTCCACCGTGCAGCGCCGGCAGTTGTGGGCACCTCGCACCGAGCACACAGCGCCCGCCCCGCGGCGCACACGACGTGGAGATGTGGCACTTGGGGACACGGCTTAATGGCACCGTGGGGATGGGCTGGTGGTTGGGTTTGGTGATCTTGGGGGTGTTTTCCAACCGTAACGATTCTATAACTCGATGTGATTCAACTAAATCTAACAGCGAGCTCATGCCTCTTGGCACTGACAGTGGGCACAGCTGCATGCACCTCAATCACACACAGCACGAAGCCCTGTAGGTGTGCAACAGCCAACACTACACCACCCATGAATTGTTTCTGGTGTCCTCCAGCCACAGACATGCAATAAACACAGAGCCCACCTCAGGGCCCCCAGCCCAGGTGGGCACCCAGGGCACCCAGGGACCCTGAGCAGCAGTTGGAGCCCCCAGCAGCTCCCCTCAGCCCTGAGCCTGGCCCAGCAGGCAGTGTCTGCCTGGCTTTCAGGGAGGCACAAGCTCTTCAGGGCCCTTGGAGAAAAGCAGCAGCAGGATGACATCAGAGCTGCCCAGCTGCCCCCCAGCCCCTCTTTTTGGGTGGGGGCACTTCGGGTATCTTGGATGTGTTTCTGTTCCCCACTGTGTGGCTGCCCTGTGCCTCTCCCCAGCTCCTTCTGTGGGTCCGGTGTCAGGGCAACCCTCGCTATCAGTACAAACTGGGGGGGGGTGAAAGGATTGAAGACAGCCCTCCTGAAAGGAACCTGGGGTACTGGTGGGTGGCCAGCTGGCCATGGCAAACAGCAGTGTGTCCACAGAGACAAGAAAGCCAACCATATCCTGAGCTGCATCCAAAGTAACATGGCCAGCGGGGTGAAGGGGTTATCCTGCCCCTCTGTTCCGCATTGGAGGAGAGTCCATCACCTGGAGGAGTGCATCCAGATGTGAAGTCCTCAGTACAAGAAAGACATGGACCTGTTGCAGCGTGTCCAGAGCAGGGCCATAGAAATGATCCAAGGGATGGAACACACCCATATGAGGACAGGCTGAGAGTTGGGGCTGTTCAACTTGGAGAAAACTCTGGGGAGACATGAGAATGTCCTTTCCGTATCTAAAAGGGAGCTTTAATAAAGAAGGAGACAGACTCTTCAGGAGGGTGTGCTGTGACAGGACAAGGGAAATGGTTTCAAACCAAAAGAGGGGAGATTTAGACTGGATAGAAGGAAGAATTTTTTTTACATGTTGCCCAGAGATGGGGTGGGTGCCGCATCCCTGGAAACACTCAAAATCAGACTGGATGGGGCTCTGAGAAATCTGATTGAATTGTAAGTGTCCCTGTCCAGTGCAAGGAAGTTGAATTAGATCACCTTCTAACTCAAGCAATTCTATTACTCTTGCCCTGGTCTGCCCCTGCCCTGGGTGTACCTCAGGACACAGTGAGCAGAGCTGTGCAATGCTTCCCCCAAACCACTGCACTATGGAGTGCTGTGTGCAGCTGCAGGGCAGGGAAGGATGGGGCCCCCAGGCCCCTGCTCCACAGGGTGGGAAGGAAGGGCCCAGGCCCACATGCCCCCTGCAGCCCTCCTCCAGACCCATTGTGCTGTACATGCTCACCTCACTGCTCCTCACCCCTTCCTCCTCCCACAGCTGCCGCGCCATGAAGCAACACAGTGCAGAGATAAATTAGAGGACTTGAAGCTGGAAAATGCCTGCTGGGAGGGGCCAGGACTCTATCGTCACACAGACACCCGTGGGCTTCTGCAGAGAAATGATGCCATAACTATCAAGGAAGGCTAAGCAGGCACCCGTGCAGCACAAAGTGACAGCAGCCCCATATCCCTGGCTCTGGGATGTGGTACAGGTCGGTGCCCATCCTGCCGAGCTCTGTCGGCTGCAGATGGGGTCAGAAGTGAGGTGCTGGGGCCTCAGGAGCGTGGCTGCTGGTGCTGGAGAGCTCATGCTGGAGAGCTCAGGCCCTGCCGTGGCTGCAGGCTCTCATGGCAGCAGGTCCATGAAGTACCTGGTCCAGGTGTGTGCAAGGAGGGAAGGTGCCATGGAGTCCTGTGCAGGAGCCCCATTTTGGAGTCATCTCCTGTGCTGCTCTGCAGGACCTCCTCCGCTCAGTGTGCCAGCCTGCTGTAAAGGGGCTGTACCTTTGTTGTTAGGGCTCTGGAGCATGCTGGAGGGCTCTGAGGAGTACTGTGGGACTCTGTAATGGTCACAGAGATATACTGGGGGGACACTGCACCTCTGGGAGGTACCTCTGGGGCTCACTGGGGTTCTGGGGGATGTGTAAGGCTCCACACTCCTCTGTTCTGCCTCAATGACTTCTTTTCCTCTTTCTCTCTCTGATTCTCAGCCCTGCTTTCTCTTCTCTTTCCTTAATTTCACTGTCCCTAATACTTCTCTGTCTGTCTATCAGTGTACTACACCCCATCCCTGCTCTCTTGGTGTCCTGTTCCCTGTGTTTCTCTGCTCATCTCTATCCTCCTTGCCTTTCTTAGTGTATTTCTTTCTCTCTCTGCTCCTAATGCTTCTTTCTGTCTTAGCTATTTAACTTCCCTCTTTTTCTCTGCCTGTCCCCCACATCTTGCCTCTGCTCTCTCTTTTTTCGGTCTTCTCTGTCCTGCTGACCTTTCCCTCACTTCTGGCTACATCCAGCTGGCTGTCTCTTTTTCCCCTCAGTGCTTCTATCCTGTTTCTTTTTGCTCTTCCTCAGTCTGTGACTTGCAGCCCATCTCCATTTTATCCCTCTCCCTCTCCCTCTCTGTCCCGATCTGCATCCCTCTCCTGTACCTCACACCCTCCCCCCAATGCTGGTGCTCTGCTCTGTCCCTTCCTTCCACCGCCCAAACATTCTCTACCCCTGCTCCCTCCCTTCTCTCCCTCACCTCCTGCTTCTCTCTCTATCCCTCTGCTCTGTCCCCATTCCCTTTTTCATTTCCTCTCTTTTTTTCCCCCTCAGTCAGACTGTCCTGCTCCTTTGCTCCTGGGTTTCTGTGTCAGTCAGTCTGCCCTTCTTCCCACATTTCTCTCAGTATATCTATTCTGCTCCCTATGTCTCCTTTTACTCTTTCTGCACCCCATTGCCTTGTTTCCTGTTCATCTCATTTTCTCTCTGTCCAGCTGCCCACCTGTGTATTTTCCTACAGCAAGGCCCTGCTCTCTGTTCCTGTCTCATCCTCCATCCCTGCTCTCCACCCCATGATTTTTTTTTCTCCTCGTCATGCTCCCTGTCCTTCTTTCTGCTTCTTGCTGTCCCTTAGCCCTTTCCTCACTCCTGTTCTATCCCCCATGACAGGCTCACCCTGTCTGTCCCTCAGTGCCTCTTGTCTCTTTTTGCTGTTTCTCACTCCCAGTCCTGCCCCTCTCTCTGCCTTCTCTCTGCTCTGTGCCCTCCTTTTCTGTCCCTGTGTTACTCTGTTATTCTCCTGCTCTGTCCTGGTCCTCTCAGCACCTTTTGCTTTTCCATCCCTCAGTTCTGCTGCCTGTCACTAATCTCTTTCCCAAGCTTTCTTCCCCCCATACCTCTCATTCTCTTCCTAGCATTCTTTCCTACTTCTTCTCCCTCTGCTTTTCCCTACTCTTGCATCCCACGCCGTTATTCTCTTCATTGTGTTTTCTTACTCTTCACCTTTCCTTGCAGTCTCTCTGTTGTATTCACTGCCCCCTAGCAGGGAATCTTTCTGTGACCCTGCCATTCATTTTCTTTTTGCCTTGCAGTCCATTATATTTCGAACTTCTCCCTCACTCTGTGCTGCTTCCTGTCTCCACATCTTTCTTGTCTAAGTCCAACACTTTTCTGTCAGATCTGTCTTGCTTCCTGCCTTGTCTCTTCTCTCTGCTTTCCTTCCTGTCCCTTTGTGTCCCACCACCCCTCCATTTCACGTCCTCTCCCTCCTCTCACCATCTTTGCAGCCTTTCTTTCTCTGGTTCTGTCTCAACCTGTCCTGCTTTGTGTTTCTATGGATGCAGTTGCCCCTTACCCTTATCCTTCCTCCAGATTTTTCCCATCTCGATCTCTGCCTTGCTGCCCCCACATTTGTTTCTCCTGCACTGCTGCCCTCCTCTTCCCTTCGCTCCTCTCTGTCCTGTTCCCTTCCTCGCCTGCTGTCTGCCCCTATCCATGTCCACTCTCTGTGTCACTCCTTTTTTCTTTCTTCCCCCTTCTCCGCCCGCAGCCCACAACGCGCTCCCCCGTGCAGTCAATGGAGCCGCAGCTTCCCCTGGGACAGAGGCGGCCTAAAGGCTCACAGAGCGCGGCGCTGCCCGGCCCTCTGCTGCCACCCACAGGCCAATATCAGTACTGCGGCAGCTGGCAGCGCGCAAGCGCAGTGGCGCTGACCCGTCGACTTCGACAGCGATACCTTTGTGAGCATGCGCAATAGCGCCAATGTGGACTGCATGGCTCCCCCGGCGGACATGCGCAATAGCGGCCTGAGGAGCATGCGCAGTAGTTCAGTGACGGTGTGCGCAGGGGACTTTTTCGGCAGCGAGCTCGGACGCGGCCACGCCGGCGGACATGCGCAGTGTGGGCAGATTTGAACGGTTTCAGACAGCGTGGGAACATTTAAAATGTCCCAGGATAGAATTAGGAATAGGGAAGCTGGCTACGGTTATCATTAAGGTTTGGATTTGTTTTAGGTTTAACACTGGGAGTTAGGTTTAGTGGTTAGGGTGAATGCCATTAGAGCTAATGTTAGTGTTAGGGTCATAGAGTTGTCACAGAAACCTCAGAGACCTAGAGCTGGCATGAGGTTGTTAGAGAGCCTGAGGGTCATCACAGAGTCATCCTAGAGTCTTATATTATGAACATAATGTCCTCATGGAGGCATCCTGGAGTTGTCCTAGTCATCACAAATATATCATAAAGTCATCATGTAGACCTCAGAGAGTAATATAGTAGTCAGAGTCATCATCAGGTGTCATAGATTTGTCATAGGGTTGTCTCAGAGTCACGGAGTGGCCATAGAGTCATCATAGAGGATACAAAGACGCAAGTCATGCCGGCGGAGATGAGATCAGGAAAGCACACATGGAACTGAGCTAGGTAAAGGATGTGAAAAACAACAAAAAGAGATTCTACAGGTAAACTGGTCAGAAGTAACAGACCAGGGAGTGTACTCCCCTCTGACAGATGAAAATGAAGAACTGACTCCAATAGATATAGAGAAGACTAAGGTACTCAGTGAGTTCTTTGCCTCAATCTTCACTGGCAGTCAGGCTTCTCATGCCTCTCATATCCCTGAACCTTTAGGTGGGGCTCAGGAGAGCAAAATCCTTCCAACAATAAGAGCAGAGCAAGTCCAAGACAACCTCATGAAGCTGAATGTGTACAAGTTTATGGGGCTGGGTGACATGCATCCCAGGATCCCAAAGGAATTGGCTTTGTGGTTGCCAAGCCTGTCGTTTTTGGAAAGTCATGGTTGTTAGACAAAGTCCCCAGTGATTGGAAAAATGGAACTATCACTCCTGTTTTTAAGAAAGGAGAAAGGAAGACCTAGGGAACTGCAGGCTGGTGAGCATCTTGTCCGTGTGTGGGAAAGCCATGGAGCAGGTCTTCCCAGAGGAGATGTTAAGGCACATGCAAGATGAGGAAGAGATCTGAAATAGCCAGCATGGCTTCACCAAGGGCAGATGGCACCTGACCCATCTGATGGCCTTCTACAATGGAGTGACAGCATCGGTGGGCAAAAGGGCAACTGATGTATCTACCTAGCCTTGTGCAAGGCCTTTGACATGGTCCTGCACCACATCCTTATCTCTGAATTGTAGAGATGTGGATCTGAAGGCTGGACTGCTGGAGTCATTATAGAGTTGTAAAAAAATCAAGGTGTTATCACAGAGTAATCAGAAAGACATCATAAGGTTAAAGATTCGTCATAGAGTCATTGTAGCATCACAGGGACATCAGTGACTTGTCAAATTCCTCATCATAGGAATCATTGAGTGGTCATAGAGTAGTCTTAGTGTCATCATAAAGACATCTCAGAAGTGTCATAGAGTCAATATAGAGTCATAGAATCATCACAGAGTCATAATAGAGTTATCATAGATTTGAAGAGTCATACTAGAGACACTATAGAATCCTATAAATATCACAGACTCAAAGAATAGTAAGAGTCAAAGAGTTGTCATAGTGCCTTAGGGAAATTTTACACCATGCACTGATGTTGACAACTTGTCCAGAACTAAAAGAAACCAAATTGCAGTGAAGTCCAATGATTGTGGTAGAACTGAGCATCATTACTCAGTCAGATGGGGCTTATTCTGCTGTTCTGGACAAACTGGTCGCCTTTAACTCTGAACAGGGATGCTTTGAAATTCTTTTCAACCATTCTAAATACACTGCTCATGCAGTTTGAATCCTCAGAAAGCCTTCCTGTTATTATAACATCTAAGCATTATTGTTTTTCAGTTAGTTAATGAAAATGTCTAAAACAAATTTAATATTTCGTAGAGCTATTTAATTTGTAAAATCTGCTTCTTTTGTTTAAACTAATGAAGTCAAATTGATGCTTATAGAAACAATATGATTAGATGAAAGAGCACTTCATTTCCCTGTACATAATCACAGCAAAATCTGATATAGGTTCATTTGTAGTCTCAGTGTAAGAAAATACTGTCAGATTGTATTGCCATGGGTCTGTGATGGTCCAATGATTGGTAGTTACTTACATAGCTAGAACGGGGTCTATGTTTTTCAAAGTTACATTTAAAAAATGGATTAAAAGACAAAGAGGTACCAGGAAAAAACAAAAACAAAAAAACTCAAGTTATTCCAAAATTTAAATTGATTCTGTTTCTAATCTGATTATCCTACTTCTTAGAGCAGTCTTAATTTCAGGGTGTACTGCCAAGAACTACTTTTCTAATCAGTGGATACTGATGTTTGGATATTGGTATTTGTTAGACAAAGTTAAGTTTCCACATGCTCTTGAGGATGAGGAATTATTGTTTCAAGATCATGAAATGTAAAGTAATGAGTCAGAAGAGTAGAAGTTTTTACATCTAAAAGAGAGAGATGGAGTTAGGGAACTCTCAGTAATCACTAACTGGATGAATAATGTTGAAAAGAAAGACTGTAATAACACACTTTTCTACAATCTAATTGCTTTCAAAGCACTGGAAATCCACATTTCTAGGCCAGGTGCTGGATAAATTTCTGCATAGGAAAAAAGAATTTGGCATTGAGAAACGGAGCTGACCAAATACTCCTCAAGTCTTTGGTTCAGTGGTAAACCAAGCCAGATCACAGCAGCTATTCGTGAACATCAACAACTTTCTTTTATTTCTTTCCAGTAAAATGAAAAGGTAAATGACTTGAGCTGATTTCAAACTGAAATATTCAACTCGGAATAGAAAACACCAGAATTCTTCAGGTCAAAGAATATATTTAGAATTGATAAGATTACTTTCTTCAACCTATACAAACACTCAAAAAACTGCTTTCATTTTTAAAATGAAAAAAAAAATCAAATGTTTTGATTTCAACAATATCACAATGTAATGCTTCATTAAAAGACTGCTGTAAATGCAAAATTGCGATCATTTGGAGTGATTTCTTTTTTTCCCTTCAGATTCAATTAAGATCCAAATTAAGAGTTCAATCTTACTTTTAGTGAAATTCCTTTAGAAGTTAATTACCAGCCTACACTTAGGCATGACAACTGTATCTTCCATTCCTATTTTGCAGAGAACTCAAAATCCTAACAGAATAAAATGAACTTGCTGAGGAACAAAAAAAGAAAGTCAAAAACTACAAGCTTACCCAGATGATGATATCACTGTCTATCTCATCAAACCAGAAATATTCACCTTCATCTCCACTTATTCCCAGATGCATGAAGATAACCACACAGTTTTGGCAGCTTTTCCTACGGAGTCCCAACAGCAGCAAGAAATATCCCAGAAATCACAGTGAGGAATCCTTCGTATTTCGGATGTCAGTGGAAGGATCTGACAAAATCTGCTGAGGCAAAGACCTGGCCTTGAATGGAATTAAACCAACCAGCTGCTGGACGCTGTTGCTCTGCCACATCCAGTGAAACTCAGACGCTAATGGTGAGTTTTAGTTTGTGTCTTAAATCTAATATTTGAATTGGAAGGCTGAATTGCATCCCTGCCTGATCTTTTCAACAATGAATCCTTCTCACATAAATTTGCTTACAACCACTGCATTTATAAATTGTGCTATATTTATATGTACAGGGTAATTATAAAGACACATGTAAGATATTAACATAATAATTGGTTTTACTCCAACAGTCTGGAGAGCCTTACAAATAACTAAAAACAAGCTCAATTACTGCTCTGTTTTTCATGATGGCTCTATTCCAATGTTTGTACTGAAAAGTAGATGAAGTTGTAGATCACTTATTAAATACTTCTGTTCAGTGGAATGGCTGAAATAGCAAACCAAAAGTTACAGAAATCACCATGCAGCAAATCTGCAATGTGAAGTTCAGAACACATTCTGGAAATGAGTTAGGGACTTCTTAGACAGCAAACTACACATTAACTTACTTCATAATGCAAAAAGAGCTATACAGGCACACTATTTGTGTGTGTTGGGGGGGGGTTCAGATTGGATATTAGGAAAAAAATATTTTAAAAAATAGGTAAAAAATAGGAAGAAATGGGGGTACTTATCTTCTGAAAGAGTGCTCAGATGCTGGAATGGGCTGCCCAAGGAGGTAGTAGAGTCACCATCCCTGGAGGTGTTCAAGAAATGCACTGGTGTGGTACAAAGGGACATGGTTTGGTGGGCAGTATTGGTGGTAGGTGGATGGTTGGACTCGATGATCTTGGAGGTCTTTTCCAACCTCGGTGATTCTGCGAGTCTATGATTCTATTCTATTCTCTCTATGTATAACATAGATGCACGCAGTACATTTATAGGTCTGTAATATTAAGCATAGTTTCTACAACTATCAGCTTATCATTGCCTATGATAGCATCATCCATGAAAGGATTATTTCTCAGTACTACAGTTAATCTCAGTTCTCACTGTATTTACCTCAGGGAGGTTCTTGAAACAAAAGATGAGGTCTTACACTCATACCAAATTCAAAAGTCTATTTCAAGATTATCTGTAGTATAAAAACATGCTACTTGTGCTACTTAGCATTCTTATACTACGTATAAGAACATTATTCCCTGTTTAGAAGATCCAAAAAATTCCCTTTTGAACACTCCATTGGAAATTCCATCCCTGGGTTGTGCTTGGCAGGCTAGAGACACCACCAAAAGAAGGGCAGCCTACGCACGGTTCTCACCTGACCTCCATACATGTGGATTTTGAATCCTGCAGAAATAAAACTGCTAGTTTCCCACATGTAGCAGTGCATTTTCAGTGCTTGTGCTGCCACTGTCCCAAACCACAAGAAAATGGATATAACCAGTGAAGAGGAAAAATAAAGAGAAAACATATTTGCTGTCCCAAGTTGAAACTGAAGCTTTCTCTTTTTCTTAACTAAAAGCTAAAAAGAGAGAAACAAATAGTTTAAAATAACTGGTTGCTTGTTTGACTTGCCTGTAGTCCTTAGAACAACTGCACTGCCTACTCTAAACACAATTGAAACAGAATAAAGGGCTACTTATCTTCTGAAGCAGAAGCTTCGGACCACACAGTCTCAAGAACACAACAGCTTCTCCCTTATGGTCCATTTCTGTTTCCTTGACGTCTTTGCAGAAGTTCAGCAATATACGCACAGAGGAACTGACAGCATTAACGCCAGGGGGAGCCTGATTTACAGCCTCAGCGGAGCAATGCACATCTGTAGTCCCAACAGAGACCATACAGCCTGAAGTCACTGTGTCCCTTCCATAGGCTTTGGATGAGAGGCTAAACTCTCATGAAAGAAAGTAACAGGAAAAATGTATTTGATGCAGAATACCTTTTCAGACACAGCTATTACTTTTTTCTAATGTTTCTGAAAATAATGGCAAATTGAAGCTGGGCTACAGTGGGGCTAGAGAAGAGACCTGAGAGGGAAGGCTAGTCTATAAAAAGTTGTGTTTTTCAGTTAGAATGATATAAACCATTCGTGATTCAAACTCTGTGGCTCCAAAAGAGAGTCACAAGCTGGAGGTATGTATTTTGCTTTCACTTGCTTGTAGTTGCAAACCTAGATCTCTAAAATCATTCTGCATAGAAATTTCTTGGTAATTCTCTGATCCTGGGAAGAGAAGGAGAATTCAGCAAACCATCTACCCTGAACATGAGGCAGAAAACTATAATGAATATCAACAGTAAGAGGTTCATAGAATCATAGAATGCCCTGGGTTCAAAAGGACCTCAATGCTCATCTACTTCAACCCCCTGTTATGCGCAGGGTCGCCAGCCACCAGGCCAGGCTGCCCAGAGCCGCATCCAGCCTGATTGCTGCAGTGTGAACCAGGGCACCTCACTGGCTGCAGCAGAATGGATGACCTGCCAATATGTCTGACTATGATCCTGTCCTATTCATGCAAAAAACTGAGTACTAGTTCACAGCAAAGCACCAGCTCCTAGAATCAGCTGAGTCAGGAATCACAGTAGATGATATTTTCAGCACTAAACCCTGTGGCAAACTATTCTAATCAGCCAGCTGCTAATTGCAGAGCCAGGGATTGTTTCTAGGGTTTCTGAATTCCAGTTTATACACTTGCTTAACTTGCTTACTTTCACATACATGTGCTTGTAATTATGCCTTTTGCCTCTGCTTGAGTGTGCAATAGTAAAACGTTTGTTTGAAGCAAAGCAGAAAAATTTAGAAGAGTCAGAGAAAATGTATGACTTTTAAGGGAAACAGAACTGTATACAGTTAAGAGCTTGTGGCAGTGATATGTGGCATGCTGAAACAAGTGCATCTAAGAAAGCAATGACTGCTTGTACAATTATGTATTCTATGCTTCTAAAATACTGAAATACTGAAAAGTACTCTGAAATCTTTGTGAAATACTAAGGAGCATTAAGCAATGAAATGACTGTCAGCAAATAAAATGTATTTATTGACAATTGCTTTCATTTCAGCTGTTGCTGGTACAGAAATTGTTTCATTGGCATAACCAAAACGTTTAATCTCAAGAAATAAAAATGCTTTATTTTCTCAAAATTAGCATTCTCCAGATCTCACTCTAGAATGGAATTCCAAGCAGGGAGCCAGCTGGAAAAGACCTTATCTCATGCCCAAAGATACTGCTGTTTTCTAGCAATTTGCTCTTAATTAAGGTCTGCTGAAGGCTGGGGACGTTTTGTCAATTAATGAAAATTCGTGCCAGAAAAGGAAATCTTAGGAAAGGGAGAGGAGAGGAGAGGAGAGGAGAGGAGAGGAGAGGAGAGGAGAGGAGAGGAGAGGAGAGGAGAGGAGAGGAGAGGAGAGGAGAGGAGAGGAGAGGAGAGGAGAGGAGAGGAGAGGAGAGGAGAGGAGAGGAGAGGAGAGGAGAGGAGAGGAGAGGAGAGGAGAGGAGAGGAAACACTGTTGTGTGTGCAGTGTAAGGAGGAAAGATGTGCACATTATAGTACATACTTCTTTAGAAAGCAAAGAGCTTAAAGTTAAGCAGATGTGACAATCTAAAACAGACTCTGGGAGTTTTCTCACTGGTTTTACCTCTACCTAAGTGTTTGCTGATGTAGCCTCTTCATGCAGCAATTGGCTACTGTGGCAAAGAACTGTGGTTTAGTCTACAGATTGGGTCACTTGCCAAACAGCAAACTTTATTTTAAAGAGCATCAGAAGTGGTACAGGAGTTTTGCATCTTGTGTGTGAAGATCAGAACAGAGGATGAGCAACGAAGCCACTCTCTGTATTAAATGACATTTGTGGATAAAGCATGGTAGAGGCTGGCAATACTTGTCATCAATACATAACATATGAACATAGGTTCAGGAAGATCTTTTGGTATCAGCAGAGGAGTCTTTCCATCTTCAGTAAATGTTAGAAGGGCTGCATTCAGTTTAAAGCATGCTGCATTTAAGGACAGTGTATGTAAGTAACTGAAATGCACACCTGTCTCTTTCTACAGCTTGGAGCTAAACCATCTGCATAATAGAATCATAGAATCCTAGAATGGCCTGGGTTGAAAAAGACCACAATGATCATCCAGTTCCAACCCCCTGCTGTGTGCAGGTTGCCAACCAGCAGCCCAGGCTGCCCAGAGCCACATCCAGCCTGGCCTTGAATGCTTCCAGAGATGGGGCATCCACAGCCTCCTTGGGCAACCTGTGCCAGTGCCTCACCACCCTCTGAGTGAAAAACTTCCTCCTATCACAGTCCTTTCGTGATCTTGGATGTTATTTATAAGAGATGGGTCACCAGCTAAGTTCTGGTGAACTTTTGGATAGTAAGAACTAGAATGGAATTGTATAATTAGTTTGTTCTCCCAGCAGTGCATCAGGACCTGAACCTGTAGTGCTGACATTAGAAGTTTTTGCAAACAGATGCAAACATCACTCTTTGGCATTATGTACAAGTTTTGATCCTCAGGCATTTAACAAAAGCAGACCAGGCAGATTTTAACAGAGAAATATAGCATTAATGGAACAACAGGAGGTCTGTTAAATTCCACACAGTGCTACACCTGTCCCCACTCTTTGGCTCTTAATTCATTCCTCTTTATCTTCCCGGTGACTGTCTTTGGAAGCTCCCGGACAAATTCCACCTACATAAAAAAGACAGAAAATGATGTAGCATGATCTCTGCAGAGCAGCTTTTCCAAGTCTCTCAACATACATGGAAAACAAGGAGATCTCCCATCAGTAAACACATCTTGCCTATAGGATTAAGTCCAAGCCAAATAAAGGCAGCACAGTGTGCATCTTCTGAAGATTTCTTTGGCTTCCTAGATGGTCAAACACCAGGGGAAGCTGCCTTCTTTGACTGGGCATTGTAACTAAAGGATGAAGACTAATGCTGCCTGAGAACAGAGATTAATAATGACAAAATGAAGAGAAGAGGGATGATCTTGGCATAAAGTAATGGTCCTTAGTTTCTACAAGTTCTACATATGTAAACTAAAGCATTGCTGGTAGCATTTTTCCTATAATGTTGATATTTATGAGAAACACCAAGCATATCATCACTGTTTCTTTCAGGTGAACAGTGAAGATCTAAATAATAATTTTCCTAAGATTTATGAAAAGATGTTCTGGTTTAGTTTCTCCAGAAACCATTTACCTTCCTGGGATATTTGTACGGAGCAGTAGTTTTCTTGACATGCTCCTGCAAGTCGCGGGTTAAGCTTTCATAATCACTGGATGAAAAGGCATCAGACAGGACCACAAATGCTTTCACTACCTAGAAGACAAGGTCAGTAAGAGTGATCTGACACTGTTAGTTTTTAAGAACTGATACATTGGCTACCAGTGGGCAGTTATGATATGAGCTTGGAGTCATGACATGCAAGAAGGAATAAGAGAGAAGCCAGAGCAGCGTATGAAATGGTTGTGCCCAGTTTCTGCACACTGTTAAGCTGAGGGGAAAGATGAAAGTATAGTTTTCCTGCCCCTGTTACAGGAAAAGAGCATTTGCTCTATACCCTCATAGGGGGTCAAGAAGAAGGGGTAACAAGAATTGCCTTTGCAGAGCCTGCTGAACATTTTATCTCTCTCTGAAGTTTGCCTTACAGCTATACATTACTCAGTAAAAAAGGAACTTATTTATATACTTAAACAAACGTATGGCTTCTGCCACCACTGTGCAGCATCATTACCTCTCCTCTGAGTTGATCTGGACTGCTGACAACAGCTGTTTCTGCTACTGCTGGGTGTTCTAACAGAACACTCTCTACCTCAAATGGCCCAATGCGATACCTGGATAAGGGAAGAACAGCAAAGGATTTGATTTTGTGAGCTGGAAAACTGGTACCAAACCAGCACTGAAATAACGTTTCCTTGGCTATGATAGAGGTATCCTTCAATTTCGGTTTGAACTGGATCTAGATTAAAATCCCTCCTATGCCAGTGGAAAACAGGCAGGTTATGCTGTGCTCATGTGCTGAAAGAGATGAGTTACAGGGGAACCTGATACAGATACATGAGGAAGATGATAATACTGCAGGTCTAAGAAAAATTACTAATAAAAGTGAGCATTCATAAGGTGAGAGGTAATGCATTTCACCTTAAGGACCATTGTGTCACAATCACGGCAGTAACATTGCATAACAGCAGGTTTAGAAGAGAAGCACACAAACTGACCCTGAAGAAATGATGATATCGTCGTCTCTTCCAATAAACCAAAAATATCCGTCTTCATCCATAATCCCTTTGTCCCCTGTGATGTAAAAATCCCCACGCTCGCTTTCTGTAGTTTTCTTAGGGTTATCCTTGAAGTGGATTACAAATAGTAATTTAAATTTTAAGAATGCATCAGCTATACATTATAACACACATAATGTTAAATTAATTGGAATTTTTTTTTTTGGTCAATACTCTTCAAGAATTATACTGATATTGATATAAAATACAATAAAATAGGCTTAAAAAAAACCATTCTGACTCTTGAAAAGAAGCTAACTTAATCTTTGATAAATTCTTCTCTTCACCTCACCAATCCAAGCAAGTGAATCGTTCATGTTTTCTCTACATTTCTTGATCTTTTATTCAGTCCTTAACATAAATATTTAATGAGCTTTTCAGATAGCATATGGTGCACATATGGTACTTCCCAGTGAGGTCACTGTCTGTAATAAGGATGGTAGGGAAATGTTTTAGGCTGCTTTTTCAGATCCATGTTTTAATGTTCTTGAACAAAAATCTGAATCAAATAATGGGATGAAATGTCTGGATCACATTTTTCCACTTGGAGATTCATGATCCTTGAGGTCTCTTCCAACCCTGGCCACTCAATTATTAAGTGCATCTTAGAGTCATAGAATCATTCTTGTTGGAAAACACCTCCAAGATAACCAGCCTCAACCCATCCCAAAATGCCCTCTAGCCATGTCCCCAAGTGCCACATCTCCACATTTCTTGTACATCTCCAGGGACAGCGACTCCACCAGCTCCCTGTGCCAATGCATCACCACTCCTGAAAAGGAATTTCGGAGATCCAGAATATCCAACCTTAAGGGGAAGAATAGCTTCCCATTAGGTCCCAGTCTGCACAGGGCATCTAAGGAGTTCATTCTGAGATTACCTCTACCAAAATATATTGCTTCTGCGGTTCAGGACTCAAAAAATGGGCCAGCAAGCCTGAAAATTGGTGAAAATCACAGGGCCTCTTTAATCCCTAAGGAATTTGAGATATTCTGGGGAGATTGCTGTTGGTGAGGAATAAAATACTTACTACATATTCAGTGAATAAACCAAGTGGTCTTATGGGTTTGCTTCTGATAGCAATATCCCCCTGTTGTCCAGGAGGCAGAATATTATTATCTTTGTCTACAACCTAGAATGAAAAGCAACATGTACTTCAGTAAAAGCAAAATAAAATAAGAACAACCATCCCCTACCTATGGAAAAGTCTAAAAAGCAGTCAGTAAACCTGAACATCAAATGGGGGAGTGGCCTTTCCCATTGATCCGCGTTTGATCTTCATTCCTTTAGAAACAGAGCAGATTATTCCCTGTAAAAATAAAAATTAAAATAAGAGTTTGCCATAGAAAACCACTACATTCACATTCAATTCATTGCATGTATTTTCTAGAATGAAGCCAAAGGAATTAAGATTCAGAAGATCCTGTTTCTGTAAAGTAGGAATGAGCAAGATGAAGAAGTACTTGGAAAGAATACAATTGCATTAACTACAAAGAATTTATGTCCTCTACTAGCCCATCTTTGTTAGCTTTTACTCCCTCCTGCCACTGTCATTTGGCATCTGCTTAAGGACATTAAAGAAAATATTAGAGCACATCCCCTCCCAACAATCCCCATTTCCAAGAGGTTCTGTGAGGAGAGCCATGCACAGGTGCTTTTTCAGAGGTGATCAGCAGAGGTTACTGAAACGTTCACAGAAACGTGAAAGAAGAAATAGGCTGTTATTGAAAATAAGCACTTATGTTTCATTAAGCAAAAGGGAATAACAAAGATTTAACAGAATATTGACACTACCGCTTCGGTTTGGCCATATACTTCATTGATGTCCAGCCCTGTCTTGTTTTTCCACTGGTCAAAGATTTCTGGGTTCAGCGCCTCCCCTCCGCTCATGCAGTACTTCAGGTTCCTGAATTTGTAACTTCCCAGAGGTCAAAAAGCAAAGAGAAACACTTAAATCTATTGCATAAGAGAAGGATTAGCAAAATGCTGTAAAATAATCCTGGAGTTCTGTTACTTGGGAAGTTCTTCCCATGAAGTAGGAAAACCAGAGGATTCCTGATTCTTTGGTTCCCAATAAAGCAAGGATATCAGTTTTTGCTCAGTGTTACACACAAGTAGAGTTAAACACACATGAAAAACAAAGTAAAAGTTTTGCTGAAATCAGCTGGGATTTAAGCACCGGCTTGTAATTAACCAGAGACCAATTTGCTGAGCCAGGGGCACGACTGCCAACCCTCTGCAGCAGGTCAAGGGAGAAAGTACAGGAGAGGAGCAACCAGCAGCAACAGTTTGTTCATCAGTGAGAAACTGGAGCAGAAGGTCTGTCAGTCCCAGCAGTTATGCTAATGCTATCCAAGGGTGACTGTGCTTCCCAGAGCATGGACAGTTAACTTGGTGATTGGAATTAGAATTTCCCAGGTGTTTAGTTTTATACCCTCTGGGATTTGCTTAGAAGTTCAGTAATGAAAAGCCTCAAATGACTGGTGGAAATATCAAGCTTCTCTACAATCAGCAAAACTCACAAACCTTGTATAACTGTCTCTTCATAAAGGATATTTTAGACTGAATTATGACCCTATGTTGGGTAAAAAGCTGGACTGGGAAATTGCTAACGTTTAGTTAGGGCAGATAATATCTCTTGACGTACCTGGAGAGATCAGTTTGCACCAGCATGCGGTACATAGTGGGAGCACTAATCATGATGTCGATGGGGAATCTGCAGAGAGTCTAGTGAGTGAAGCAACAAGACAACAGGTGAAACTCAGACAACAAAAGCTGTCTTCTGGATGTACAGAGCACGGGGGTGTAGGGGTTAAAGGTGGCTCTCCCGTTATGTAGAAGCAGAATGTATGTATATAACCCTCCTACCCTTGGCATAACAGGTGAAGAATCACAGTGTTTGGAAAAAATCCCATTCTTTCTTGTCTGCATGAAATCCAGACTGCATAGACAGCTCAGAGCATGGACAGAATAAGCCTGTCTGCATTATGGAGAATGGTTTGGGTTGGAAGGGACCTTTAAGACCATCTCGTTCCAACCTCCTGCTGTAGGCAGGGACACCTCCCATAGCCATGTTGCTCACAGTCCCATCCAGCCTGGCCTCAAGTGCTTCCAGGGAGGGGGAGGGGGCATCCACAACCTTGCTGGGCAACCTGTGCCAATCTCTCACTGCCCTCACAGTAAAGAATTTCTTCCTAATATCTAGTCTAAATCTACCCTCTTTCAGTTTAAAGGCATTTCTCCTCATCCTATTGCTACCTGCCCTTATAAAAATTCCTTCTCCAGCTTTCCTGTAGGCCCCTTCAGGTCCTGGAAGGGCTGTAACATCCCCCTGGCGCTTTCTCTTTAGGCTGAAGAGCCCCAGCTCTCTCAGTCTGTCTTTATAGGGGAGGTGCTCCATCCTCTGATCATCTTCTCTGGACCTGCTCTAACAGCTCCATGTCCTTCTTGTGTTGGGGGCCCCAGAACTTGACACAGGACTCCAGGTGGGGTTCACTTTCATCTTGGCCACCACAGGCAGAAAATAATTTTCAGTTTGCATAAATATCAGCTAATATTATCCCCCATGACTACTGGAACAAAGGCATGTGATAAGTACTGCTTCTGGGATGATTTTCCCACGTGCTTACCAGCTATGAGCAAAAGGTATCAAAGTATCTTGGGACGGACCCCTTCTGTGTACATTAAAAAAGTGAGTAGGACTTTATGGAAGGATACATCTTGAATGAAACAGTGGGCATAACAGTCATTAAATCTTTCTATGCAGTTAGAAATTATTTTCTGCTCCTTTTCTGCAGATCTACACAAATCCATAAGTTTTTCTTACGTTTAGGATAACTGATGGTTCAATCTGTGGGAGCTGGTGGACAAAAACACACGATCCCAAAGCCCAGGCATCAAATACAGATATCACTGAAGTTACTATCCAGCCTGTGTCTGTAACGCTCCACACTGTGTCTGACGGAGTTGCATACAAGGAGGACCTAGAAGCAGGAAAAAGAATTAAAAAAATAAAAAGGAAATGATAACTTTGGTTTAATTAAAAGAAAAAAAAAAAAAAAAGCAAAAGGAAAGCAAGTGAAACCAAAGGGTCACTGTTCCCCACTCCTTCCATAAAAAAAACCAAATATCCAGCAACCAGCAACGCCAATAGAAAACAAAAATCAAATCCAAGATGGCTAATGAGATGTGTGGGCTCTGGGAGCTCTCAGTAAGTTCATTTGTTCATCCTACCTCAGGAATGAAAGGACCTCTAAGGTTTAAGTATTTGTACAAATAAACACATATATGGTAAAGATAGGAGGTCATTCATAACATAGGATTCAATAAAGGAAAGAATTGCAATAAAGTGACTTTTCTTGGGGAGGAAAGTAGGGCTGAAGCAGAAGCGTGTTGATTCTCTGTTGAACACCAGGAATTTCACTTCATGTCTGCTGAGGGATCAGGCTGATCTGTACAGCCAGCATCAGCTCTCACTCTGTTCATCCACACACATGACATAATTTTTGCAGCACAAACAGCGTGATATCCTTGGTTTTGCACTCTAAAATATTCCCAGCTTGTGTCTGTCCTTTGAACCACTCTAAAGAAAGACTGGAAGATAGTCATTGGAAAATGGAAACTCTGGGGCTGATCCTACTTACATGGAAATCTGTCAGAGTTTCTAACCTGATTTCTGGGGGAGAAGGACTGTAGCCTTACATCTGAGTAACTCAGGAACTTTCCACCAGTTGTACTGTGCAGCTGTGCAGTTCCAGTTAATAATCAGGCTCGAGCCTTTCATACCTTTCATATAACAGGGGTCTAAAACCAAGGCTGCCCTGGGAATGTTCAGTCATCTTTGGAGAACCTGTGGTTCCACTGGTAAAGTAGATAATCATCGAATCTTGAATCCTTGTTTTGACACAGGAATGTTCAGCAGGCTGGGTTCTGTAAGGCACAGAATGCAATTGGTAACTTCAGTGATTACATGGGTTTCAGAATGTAAGCTTTGCAGAAGCCTTTCACCAAATTAGACTGAAACTGTGTAGAACTGCGCTTTCCTCCATGACAAGATTCCACTTAAGAAGGACAGGGTAGAAACTTCCTGGAATAAAACTGAAGACTCTTGGTAAACAACTGCTCTCAGCAAACAACTCTGATGTGGAAACAGTAATCAGGCAGTCATGAATTCGCGCCACTAAAGCTTAGTGTTGGCATTTGATGGATATTCACAGTTGATGAATACTTGTAAATGAGTATTTGTGGAGAACAGGCCAGCTTTCTGCATTGTGACTGTAATGCTGCTCATGCATACTCACTTGTACAGTTCATTGAAGTTCAGCCATCCCTCCCTACTGTCTTTGGACACCATCAGCTTGTTTTTAAGATACTGGCACTCAGATGCAACTGAGTCTATTGCAGGAGCCAGTGTGTCGGTGGTGATGATGCACTTGGCCTTTGAAGCCTGGAGTCGATATAATATGTCTTTGGCTGATAATTGGGATGTTCCTGGAATTAAGACAATTCCTGGAAGAGCAATATGGTTAATTTAGGATAACATTTTTTACATCCAGTCTTTTCCTAAGAGTCTAAACTAGCAACTATTCCCAAACTGACCTCCGGATGGATTTGCCCTGACATTCCCAAGTCAGTTAATGTTGGAGTAATGCAGCTGCTGTGCCCTCCTGTAAGAAATCAGAGGTGGACCTCCCTGGTGACTCCTCAGCTCTCCATGCCCCTAGGCCACCTGCTCTACGGCACCTACTGCAAATCCTTCAGGGCAGTAATTGGTAGCTAGGCAACTCACTTGATTATTAATTTACATTACTTCTCCTTTATAAAGGATTCTGTATCCTCTGAAAAGATTTGCATTAAATACCAGTTTTACCAGATCTCAGATATGCTCACTTACCTGCTCGAATGCAAGCCATATTCACCAGCCACCACTCCGGGATTCGTGGCAGAACCACAATGACTCTGTCCCCTTTTTGCAGTCCACATACTTTGGTCAACATGTTGGCCACTTTCCGAGAAAGGAATCCCAGCTCCTCAAAGCTCCATTTTACTTCTTCTCCACTACCACTTACCCACCAAAAAGCAGAGTTTGTTGGTCTTTTTCCAGCCTAAAAACCACAAGGATTCCAAAGAAACCCCAATTTCTTCTTAAAGACTTCATAATTATAAAAGCACAAGTATCTGCGAGTTGTAGAGGATTCAGGTGTTTTCAAACTTGCATATGAGCCATTATTTTCCTTTGTCCTTAGGGAGTGCAAGACTCTCTATGAATCATAGTCAGATATTCCTAACAAATTGCCCTTTTCTAACCTGAGGTGTTCACCATTCTGTGCATCTCCAGACTCAAGTAATGTGAATTCTATTCCTGTTTAAGCTTAGAGCATTATTTCTCTTAAGAAGGTAATGGGCAACATGAAATACTTCACCTAACAATTGTGATATTCTGAATGGAGTTGCGGAATACTAACAAACAGAAGCTACCTGGGCAGAGGGGAAAATAAATCAGGAGAATGCAGTAATCCAGGACAAGCCTGAGAGCTCAGGGAGAGGGAGTGAACAAAGCAAGAGGTCGTCAGTGACACAACATCTGGACAAATGCAGCCTCTGCTTTGGAGCAAGCCAATTGCACACTTGTGGAAGAAAATTCCTTGTCATGCAGTATTATTGCTATGCTACTCTTGTTTTTATGATGTAACAGCTAATATTATGGCATGCAGAAGAAATAAGCACAACCAATCCAAGGAAAGATCAGGGTCATGAGGGTCTTATCATTGCTTTTTCCACCTACACATGGAGCACCAAGGATCAGAGACATTTGTAATAAATGAAGCAAAAAGAAATGAGATCCCACATCATTTCCTGATGCATATTGTTTTTAGCAACTGATTATTTTTTTAATAAAAAGAAGTTATTACTTTAAATTAATTAAAGGCTCTCATCTGCCCAACAAAAGATCACCTACCTTTTCAATCTCAGCCCATTTGTCCACTACATCACTTGCAAAGTTAAAGTACTTTGGTATTTCCTGTTCACCACGCCTGACAGATTCGTACTGAGAGTGCACATCAGAGACAAGCAGCCTGGGATGCCTATGGAAAGTCCTACAAGGAGGTTTCAGAGTCCACAACGATTTTAGAGTCCGTAATTTACAAATCTTCATGGCAGGATATAAATGGAGATGCTGTAGACTGCGTAAGAAAGTTAATGGCATCATTGCTATTGTTTTTCTGTAACAAAAATAATGAAAAAGAGAAACACTATCTTGAAATTAACCAGACAAAGATAATTCTATTATAAATTGATTAATTATTAGTTGAATTCATTTAGACTATTCACAGCAAAACTGATGTTTAAATGCAAAGTTCCCCAGCATGCTTTCATGTATTTTGTACCAACAGCTTCTTAAGGACTTAAACTACTGACATGATCATATCGTCTGTAGCTTGGCTGATCCATACAGATTATAGATTAGTTCTTCAAGGCTGCTAACATCACCGACATGGTGGAAGGATATTTGTTCTTACACCAGACCACTTGGTATTTGATTTTCTGAGATTCTTCTTGTTTCACATGGAACTGAGGGATGTTTCCAGTTTCCACTTGGTCACTGTAAACGTCCTCCCTCTTCTATCTGTTCTCAACACTAGAATCATAAATGATCTGCAGTCTAATGAATTGCTTCAATTTTATTGCTATTCTTTTTTCTTTTTAATTTTTTTTTTTTTTTATTATTTTTTTACCATTACTTTCAGTAACCTAGAAGATTGCTTCAGAATCTTGCCAAACAATGATGGAATGCTGTTTAGAGGTGCCTGTTGAGCATACATGAACACTATCCAACATGGAAAAAAACCTGGTTTGCCTCTGGAAGAGTCTGCAGAAATAGCAGGGGACAAGGCAGTCTATGATGATTCTGAAATCTGTTCCTTTCTATTGATTTTCAGCTGCTAAATATAAATTACTGGTCGTGTTACAAGCTTAGGTGAGTGATTGCTGATATTCAAGTCATTTTCTTTCCTATTCTTACAAAGAATGAAGCCATCAACCAGCTTAGAAAAAAATAACAAGAAAGCTTTTGATTAATTTCTGGTCCACATGAAATGTGTGACCTGAGTGAAGCTGCAAAAACAGTGAGTTTTGCCCTTTGATCCATGTTTTTAAGTTAGTTTTGTATTCAGTTTATATTGTCCCATATCTACAACCATAACCTCTGAAGTACTGACCACGATTTTCATAAAAAAACATTATTCCTCATGACAAAATAAATATTTTAACAGCAGAATTCTTTCTTTTTTTTTTATTAGCAGGACTGGTAACAGTCACATTTGATCTTCCTGTCAGGAGGGTGAACTCAGATACCTACAGCTTGCATAACTTAATCTTTTCAGTGAGATATGACAGCTCAAGAAACTCTGTGGGCTGGATGCAGAATGCTTCAACATCTTGTTATGATTGTGATCTTTGGGAAGCAAAGAATCTCACGACGGTATTCAAAATAAACACAAATGTGTTACTGGGTAGGCAGTACAGGAAACTGTCATGCATTTACACAATGCCCGATGGAGTGTTATGCACCGTTGCCACATAACAACATTCAATGACCAGTAATGTCGTTCATTATCATTGCTGGGAGATGGTAATACCAGAGGTCTTGAAAAGAATTACCATTGCTCACTTCTAACTTGCTGAGTGAACGAAAAAAGCAGGAAAATTTTTAACCTGGTGCATTTAACCCATTGCCTTTAACCCAGAGTAATAAGCAAAGAGGCAAGAGTGGTCAAAGAGAAACATGGTCTTGGCATCAGTGACTGGCAGGAAGGGCTGAGATGAGGCTGCAGGCATTCCCCTGACTGGTCCACCTTCAGCTGCAGGTCTGCCTCACCCCAGTGCTATCAGAGAAATAATCCAAGAGGGCATGCATGTCCAATCTTTGGGCTTGCCAGGGCCGCACTGAATGAGGAAGAATTGTCTTGGCCGAAAGTAATGCCTCCAATTTATTTTCATGGAAACTACAGCAGATACAATGAGCACAGCAACTCTGCTTGATAGAATTACATATTTTTCTCTGTAAACAGGATTGTGTTTTGGCAGTGTATCAGAATGCATACATTTATTTGCCATAACTTGAGATGATGATATATGATTCTGTGTCCTTGCATGCCCTTTTCAGCATCAGTTGGTAAAACAGTGCTCAACTCAACTAATACATCCATTAAAAATGAATAAAATCAGGTTCACAGCAGTAAGAGGATGTTTCCCCTTGACAGAGAGAATCAGGTTCCCTAATGGGTGCTTGAAAGGGAATGGAAAGCAAATCCGATTAAAATCCAGTACATGCATTCTGATAACTACATATATACTCCAGAGGGATCATGACAAGCAACAGAAGAGCTATGCTATCCTCTTCAGAATTAGGATTATAGAGGAGAAACTTAGAATCTAGGTGGTAATTGCATTTAAAGTCAAAATCCTATTAACAGGGATGTGATCTATTCTAAAAATCTAAAAAGGTTTTACTTGTGAAATATGGCCTTTTAAATATTTCCTAAATTCTACATAAAAAAGGATATTAAAGATTTTTTAACATAATATTCTAAGAAATATGTTTTTGTTTTTCTTACTTAAGAAAACCACTTTCAGTGAAAAATAGCAAGCTTTGCATTAAATGTAACTTCTGTTTGAGATATGACCACTATCAATAATGCTGAAAACCAATGGATCTACTTTCAGCCCTGTAACACAAACTCCTAATAATTTGGATTATTCTTTTTAATCTCACAGTAAGCTCTAATATCATAGTGTGCTCTAATTCTGTGATTTAGCTAAAATCTGTAGTTTTAAGAGCATTGTAAGAGCAAAATACACAGTGGGTAGAGAGGAGACTACAGACATTCAGGAGCACTGTTCAAGTTTGGACAGAGTATTCAAAGCTGACAAAGTGAAAGAGACTTTAATTGGAGGATTCCCTGGTGGTCTGCCAGAATTTACATTAAGTTTTGAAAACGAAAGAAGAAAATTGACAGAAGGATACAGTAATGAGAAAGTATTTTGAATTGCTGCTGGAATCAGAAATCATTTTTCCTGATTAGTACCAATTGCTTCTCCTTGGTTTCGCGTCGTTAGAACTTGAACAACATGTTTCACCAACCTGTTTGCTCTGGGCAGCCTGGATGGGTTGAGCTGCCTGCAGTCGATCCTCTTCACTGGTTCATTCAGCTTGCAAGACACGCTTCCCAAAGGCACTTTGGGAAGACTGGATGGAGATGTGCAGCTCAGACGTGCTAATTAAGAAGCACTTGGAGTGATGGCCCTTTACCAGTTGCTTTTTTCAAAGTAATCAGAGCAGAACATAGAACAAAACTGACCAGGCAGTGTAATAATTTCTAGAGTAACCCTTCTTCTTGTAATCATTTACACCATTGTCAATCAATTTGCACCTTAGCCTAAAGAACTTTGTATATTCTTTTCTTCCATTCTAACCATCTGGGAAGATCACAGGTTCACCAGAGTGAGAGGTAGTCACACATTATGTCCTTCTCCTTCCAAACAGAAAGAGTTTGGGAATAGGGAGAATATTTAAAGAGTGAATATCATTCCATCACTGCTTGTACTCATTACAGGGCAGAGATTATTTTTATTAATTTCTCATTTATTTGTAATTGTCAAAATTGCTGTGGTCCTTTATTTTTTTAAAGGAATCTGATGTTTATATTAATTGCAGTAAAAAAAATTAAACTTCCATGCAGTCTTGGATCACTCTCTTCTCTCTCATACCACATTTTTAATTATTTGTGCCTTTTCCCATCTGAATAATTGTGGGTTGATGGTAGAAGTGGTTCTCATATCACACATCCCCAAGTTATATGAGTGGTGCCTCCATTTTTGCCTCCCGCAGCTTGTTCTTCCATACATTCTCTTGGTGCTCTGGTTCATGATAACGTGCCAAGTCCAAACACTGTGCGTTGGCTGACGTGGATGATGGAAATTTTCTCTCCTCCATTTTCAGATATTGTTATGCTTTTCCCCACTCTTTGTTTCTTAGAACCTTTCTCTGGATTTTCCCTGTAGCTGTCTTTGGCAGAGACTGAACAAACTCCACCTGAGTGACAAAAAATGCTTGCTTTTAGCCAAACACATTGTGATTAATCTTGGAGATGCAAGGAAAGACACTCTATCATTATGGTGAGGGTAACAGGATGCAAAGCTGCACAGCTTGGAGCTGGGATGGTGAAATTCTTTGCCGCATGTCTTATTTGCTCTGCACTGGCGGTATTTGCTTGCAAGGGCAAGTAAAATGATCCTGGAGAAGAGTCTGCTTCAACTATTAGGAAGGAGAGTCGTGAGTGTTCTCCAGACGTGATGCCAGCAGAAATTTCTGCTTTGTTATGACTGCATCTGAACACAGCTCAGGGAAAGAATTGATAAGGACAGAATGCTTTGTCCATTTGAGTTTCTGTGAAAACCCTGCTATTTCAGGAGCTGGGCTCTGATATTACCATTTCCTCTTTCTTTTTCTTCCCCCCCACTCCACAGAAGAACAGCAAATCCAAGGCTTCAGCTGCAACGCATTCCCTAAAATATTTTTATACTGGAAGATTTTGTCAAAAAGAAGTGGAAAAGAAACAGGGGCAGGACAAAACCAGTCCAGTGTCTGATGTAATTAGAAGACCTGGCTCTTTATGGCGTACTTACCTTTCTGGGGTACTTGTAAGGAGCAGTCACCCTTTTGACATGTTGCTGAAGATCATGAGTTAGTTTTTCTGGGTTGTGTGATGCAAAAGCAGGAGACAAAACAACGAAGGCTTTGACTACCTGTGCCACAAAAGTGAAAGGACTCTGTTAACTTCTAGATGTGGTAATTAAGGGATTGCTAAAACTGAACACCAAAATACAAAAATGTGAGTTTTTTTCTTTAATCTCGCCTGTTCTTGGCTGTTTATTACAAAATTAGTTGTAATGAATGACTTATATTGAAGCATAGGAATGTTTGCTTTGTTTTCTTTCCATGTTTTTCTTCTTCTTAGCTTTTATACACTACTAAACTTTACAAAAGTTTTAAAGCAGAAAGCAGCTGAATATTTCATCTCAGATCTCAAAGACACACTGCTGAGCTGAAACCACAGAACCAAAAAAACCCCTCTGTGTTTATCACTGCCACCAAGTGCTTGGTGACAGAATGCAAGGAATTAAATCTCAAACACTATTTCTTAGACAAAAAAATGCCACAATAAATCTGTTTTTCCAAATGAAACCTTGCTACCAGGGAAATGCTGAAAATCACAATCTATTAAGGCACAGTTTTTAATTTTTAATCCATTTTAATTTCAAAATCTTCCCAAAAGAAGTCCACCATATGCAGAGAACTCGATGCTTAGTATCAAATACATTTCTTTCCATATCTGTACCTCCCCTCGAATTGGATCAGGACTGCTGACAACAGCTGACTCTGAGACTGCTGGGTGTTGTATTAATGCACTTTCGACTTCAAATGGACCAATACGGTACCTAGGAGAAAAATCCAGATACAAAAGCCACAGCCAACCTGCCATTGCACTGGTTTTTTCAGATCGATTTTTTAAATAAAAACAGATCATTAACAGGTAAACAATGGAATCTAAAAGCAGGCGACTTACCCAGCAGAATTAATTATATCATCAGATCTTCCAACAAACCAGACGTATCCTTCTTCATCCATAATCCCTCTGTCCCCAGTGACATAGAACTTTCCAGTCATGCAGGCAGCAGTTTTCTCTGGATTATCCTGACAACAATCAATAGTAAAACAAAGAATGTGATCAGGACTATTTCTTAAGCAATTCTCATAGCAGTATTTTAATACTATTTTATGAGTTAGGTTTAAAAGAAAGAGTCACATTAATTAGCAGTCTTTCATTGGAAGTATGTGAGAAGCGGAAAAGAATATTTGTGTGTCCATGGATTCATGTTCCATCAAAATGCTCATTTATCACAGTATTTTGCTAAAATGTGTAATCCACTCTCTTCAGATAACTGTTTTCTTGTTTTTTTTCTTGCAGCGGGGCTCCGCAATGACCTGTCAATAGAAACTTTTTACCTCTATCTTTCAAGACAAAAGCAAAACGAGGTGACCTACAGCAAAAACATCATTAACTACATTGATCTATTGGATGAACGTTATACAAGAAGAAAAAAAAAAAGTTTGACAACTGAAAACTTGAGTGTTTTTAATCCATAATTAATTTCTGGGAGTTTTTATTAGGGGATGCTACAAATACCCAAATATTATGTGAGTTCAGAAGAGGTTGAAACATATAGCTAGGTTCCTCAAGGCTTATTCAATGTGATGGCCAAATGCAGCAAAGAAAATCTACTATGGTCAGGTACAGGTGTGGAACAAGCTACTTCTGCTTCATGCTGCAACTTGCAGTTATACTCTGCCAGTCTGTTCTTGATCAGATGTACTGATCAGGCTCAAAGCTCTCAAGCCATGTAGAGAGGCCCTGTGAAGATTCTGGATGAAATTCTGCTCCTCAGTAAGTTTGTCCTGGGTCTCTCTTGAGCTTCTCAGCAGGCACAGGCAAGCAGAAGAACTCAAGCTTACCAAGTACTCAGTGAACATACAGAAGGGTCGTGACGGTTGAACTTGGATAGCAATGTTGCCTTCTTCTCCTTTAGGCAGAACAGCCCCATGGTCATCTATGATCTACAGGAAGAACAGAATTACAGAATAACCTGAGTTGTAGGAGACCTCTAAGGATCATCAAGTCCAACTCTTGGCTCACATGGCCTGAGAGTGTTGTCCAAATGCTTCTTGAAGTCAGGCATCATGGGGCCATGACCGCTGCCCTGAGGGGATCTATTCCACTGCCCAACTACCAGTGCCCAAAGGGACGTGTCATTACAGCACTGATTAACTTAATGAGATATCTGTGATGTAACAGTGAACAACACACAGGGACTCAGCATTCTAACGCGTGTGCCCACAACCACCGCTGAGCTCAGACATAGTGTATCAACATACCTGCACATCATAAGGTGGAACAGCTTTTCCCAAAGAGCCAGGTTTAATTTTCATTCCTTTCATATTGGCACATATTGTTACCTGCATAATAGATAAATAAATATACACACATATGTATACATATTCATATTTCTACAGCATTTTGTAGATTTTATTATGGCCTTGCATTAGGCATGTTGCCTCTTCATGACTTTGTCATGACCAGGACTGAATGAGGACCAAAGCACCATGGTTCTCCATCACATCAGCGAAGGGTCAGCTGTGTGGAATGAGGTTGTTTTTGCCCAGACTGAGCCAGTGGATTCTTCTGTAAACACTTGAATTTGCAATCCAGCAGAGACAAAGCAGCAGAGACATCGCATATCTTATTTCAATAATGGGACAATTAATTTGGGACCATCTCGAGGGTAAGTAGAGAGAATGCCTGAAATCTGATTCTTAATATCTTTGTTATGTTTGCCTACAGAGTCAGCAGGAATGTGAACTGATTTAATACTTTCCCTCAGAAGCTCAGATGAGCCAAACTGATACTCAGAGCAAATTAATTGTTGTTTTCCCTTCTGAAGCAAAGACAATGAAGGGATCTACTACAAGTTATTTTGCAGGGAGTTTCTTTTTAAAAAAGTTCATTTAAACGATTCTCACTTTTCCACTGATTAATCAAAGCAGACTGTGCCTCGGGTGTTGTTACCTTTGGGATGGCATACTGCAGAAATTAATACAAACATACTGTTTCAGTCTGGCCATAGCCTTCATAGATATCCAGCCCTGTCTGGATTTTCCACTTCTCCATCACTTCAGGATTGAGCGGTTCTCCTCCACATACACAGTGTTTCAGAGTCATGAATTTGTAGCTTCAAAAGAATAGCAAATAAAAGAGTTTTCTTAATTTTTGAAAATAGCAGTTGAATGATCTGACCTGGGGAATGTGCCTCAACTTTCAAAGGAAGTATGCCTAACACTTCACAAGCTACTTTGGAAATGACTACAATACTTCTGTCACACTATCCTTGACTGGACTCCTAGATTGCTCACGTTACCACTGAGGGGATTTATCTGTGTCTGTAGGAGCTGGGTAAGGACAAAAAAAAGTGTTTGCAAATTTTCTTGGAAGAAGAGTAAACAAAAGCATTTCCTCAGGAGTAGAACAAGAAAAGAATTATCTGAACAAACACGTCAGGTGTTGTTGGAAAGCTGAATTAGGTGGCTGTGTCCTGGCAAAATAAGACAAGGAGTACATGAGAAATGATATGAAATCTCCTTACAAACCACACTGACTACTCATAAGGTTAAATATTTTACAGTGCAACAGACCAGTGGGAACAGCTGCCAAATAACTATCAGCATGTCAAAGTCCTCTAAATCTTTATGTCCTCAAGGATACAGCAATGACTTCATTGTACTCCAACAGCTCCTTGATCCAGTGCTGTCTGAAATCCTCCTTGACTTAAATTTAACTGTGAGCCATAAGTTTGGTTTGACACCTTAAAAAAATATGCCTAATTGGTATCTAATAATTTTAATCTAATTTCCTATGCGCTCTTTTTTCAGAGATTCCCTTTCTGAAGCCTGAACGGATCAAGGTGTGAATACTTCTTCTCCTTTTTTGGAATATAGCCCTCTCTTCTGAGAGCAAGGCTTTCCTTTAGTTAGCTTTTCTTTAACTGAAAAAAACCCAAACCTAGCATAAATAACTAAACGGCCAGTGCTGTCATAGAATCATATCCCAGCCCTTGCTACCCCTGCAACACACAGATGTGCAGTACCTGCTCACATCATGTTGGATAAGCATGCGGTAGGCAGTGGGGGCAGTGCAGAAAATAGTGATAGGGTATCTTGAGAGAGTCTAGAAAAAAAAAAAAAAGGAGGTGATTATATTGAAAAGAAAAGGTAATGGTGGCTCTGACTTAGTATATATCATGAGATGTTAACATGACTAGAGGGAATGGCCTCAAGCTGTATCAGGGGAGATCTGAGTTGGATATTAAGAAAAATTTCTTCTCCAAAAGAGTGGTCAGGTGCTGGAATGGGCTGCCTAAGGAGGTGTTGAAGTCACTGTCCCTGGAGGTGGAGATGCGGTACTCAGGGACATGGTTTAGTGGGAAATATTAGTGGCAGGTGATGGTTGGACTGGATGATCTTGGAGGTTTTTTCCAACCTTAGTGATTCTATGATTGTATGAATTCTGTGCTAAAATGTTTGCAAAATGAAACCCATAAACATGTGATATTTTTAACATGGAACAAGTCATGAATGAATGAAATACTCTGAGCATAGAGTGGTTGTATCAGTCAGGGCTGATGTTAGAGAAAAAATACAATGCTTTCTGTCCAACAAAAATCATTTGTAAATGAATGACCACTGAGTGCATCTGGTAGTTCCATGTAAGATCATTTTCTGTTTCCCAAGGTGATTGTCCTAGACCCAGAGTTAAGTGACAGTAGTGAACTGAGAAGAAGCTTTTCCAAGTTTATTCTTGGGGCAGTCTGGATCTCCTCTCCTACAAGAGGCTGATGTTGCGGAGAAAGTTCTAAATAGCACAAACCCAGTTCAGGCCCATACTCTACTCTGATTACTGACCAATGCCCACCTTCCTCCCAGACTGCCCAGAAATCCATATTCAAATTTCATTTTAGGCTAAGCATGGGACAGGACAGGAGTGATCTTAAGTTAATTCTGTCCTGCATCTTTCACCACCACATCTCTACCCTATAACCTAACCAGGAAGGAAAACACTTGCTCCTCTTTTTTACTGTGCACCATAAGGAGGGGTAACTTGTCAGATGTGGGAAGCACTATGCCTGCTGCTGAAGAACGCTGTGTACGTATGCTCTGGAATCCAGTTTGTTTGTTTCATTTATGCTAGCTGGAAATAAAGCTCACAGCATGAAATGTTATGCTTACTTCTGCAATGACTGTTGGTTTAAACTGTGGCATATTGTGAACAAAAACACAAGATCCACTGATCCATGGTGCAAAAATGCTGCTCCAAGCTGCCTTTACCCAGCCAGTATCAGAGGTATTCCACATTATATCTGAGGGAGTCAAGTTCATCCAGTACCTGATAAAGCAGAGGGGAAACATAAATGGCTCACACAGCATGAAAGACTTGATTTAAGCCCAAGTCACAGCATAATTAAAGGAAAGGACAGGAGGCTTCCATTAAAAAATCTGGTGTCAGCAATTAGGGCTCTTTAGAAAGTTTGTAGGAATTTAAGATTTGAAACATTCTCTTGTTTCCATTCATTTCCTCCCGATTAACATTTCCAGTGTCTGTTTTACCCCTGAACAGCCCAAAATAGCCTTGAAATGTGTTGTGTAATTGGATTCAAAAGAAAAACTGGTCATTCGGAGTGGACTTTTCTCACCCTGTGGATTGGAGACATCAGCCACACCACAGGTTACTACTCTAGGAAAATAACCAAGTTATCTGTTGACTCCACGCTACCACCTTTCAACACAGAATGCCTAAGGATATTTATTTTTTATTTTTCACAGAATTTCTCCCTTCATGTTAAGTACAAATGAGAATGATGTTCCGTGGAGGTAAATAAGTGTCCAACTGGATTCCGAATGATCTGTGACTTTTCAGATGCTATGATAAAAGGCTTTTGGTTCTCAAGGAAGGCTTACATAATACTGAAGAACTCAACTTTATCTGGTTTGGCTACAAGGCTATCCTGACTGCTGCTCTGCAATCAGCCCTGTGAATGAGTAAACACTGTGGCTGATATTTTCAACTGAGCCTACAAAAAACTTTTAATAACCACTGTTTCACCCTGAGAGAAGAAAGAGGAGGAAGAAGATCCCACACTGATATAACGCCTACATTTAATGCAGTTCTTAGTGTTACATTTTAAAAAATAATAATTCTTTATTGTGAGGGTGACAGAGCCCTGGAACAAGCTGCCTGGAGAGGTGATGGAGTCTCCTTCTCTGGAGATATTCAAAACCCAAGTGGGTGCTTTCCTGTGCAACCTGCTGCAGGGAACTGCTTTAGCAGAAAGTGTTGAACTAGGTGATCTCCAAAAGTCCCTTCCAGCCCCTGTCATTCAGTGATTATGTCACTTAATCCAGACACTGACAGTATCCAGGAACAATACCTGCTACTGGTTGCAAATCCAATGCCATAACTGCTGTGGGACTGCACCACCATTTTTGGAGAGCCTGTACTTCCACTAGTAAAATAGATAAGCATTGGGTCTTCATTTCTTGTCTTAACGCATTTGTGGTCAGCAGATGTTACCCTTCAGAAGAAATAGTACATGATGGTTATTACACGTACATTTTCCACAAAGGAAACTTTATTTTTTAAGATTTAGGAGTTAAGAAGGAAAACAGTTGCACTAAAATATATGATCTCACAAAATAAATAGTTGCATCAGAAGGTACATGTATGAGTTAGAAAGCAGATTTTGATAATCACATTCATGTTCCATACATCGTAATTCTCACAATGTGAAAACCTAGAGCCTATTCCAGTGACTGCCTGCAGATATATTCAGTGTCTCTGAAAGCTTTTCGTGGAATAGCAGGTAGCTGCAAAGCCAACTTCTGCCTCAACACATGCCATCTCCCACTTTCAAGTCAATGGAAGCCATATTCATTCTATGATGCCAGACAAGGTGCTCTTAGACACACATTATACTACTGAAGTTCAAGATGCTGATGAACTATCCAGACTGCCTGAGCTATCAAGATAGTCAAGGGAAGAAATAGCTGATGCCACGCCAGCTGGGCAGCAAGAATTGGCAACAGTTGTGTTATCACAGAATTCAAGAGCCATTAGGCTGGGATCTAGTAGAGAAGCACAACATGACTTCGAGATTAGTAGTCTGTGCTCTTATGTTGTGATCACAATTGTCAGCTTCTAAAAAGGTCTCTGCTTCCAAGGTGCTAAGTAAGGAGCAGCTCAAGGATCTGATTCCAGCTCCCAAGAGGTATGCTGGAGAGATATGTACTTAATGTAGTGATAACAGTGAGTTGGCAGAGGGCTGAATAAACATAACTCATCTGTATTTCGGAATGTCAAAACTCAGCAATGTCACCTGACTGACACAGTTTCCTTTATTTCACAGAGATGAAGCTAAGACAACTGGATACTCACGCACAGAGTTCTCTGAGGTTGAGCCACCCGTCTCTGTTCCCTTTCGCTACAATTAGTTTCGCTTTCAGAAACTGGCAGTCAGGCAAGATAGATTCCACTGCAGGTGCCAGGGTATCGTTGGTAATGATGCACTTGGCCTTTGAAGCCTGGAGTCGGTATAGAATATCTTTGGCTGTTAACTGGGATGTTCCTGGAATGAAGACAATTCCTGGAAAAAAAGCAACAAAGAATTTGGAAAATGGTCCAATTGTCTTTATGATGTTTGTACAAAATGATAGTGTCGAATAAAGACATTGTTCATTTTAGTAAGGAATTAATACCTCCAACGTGATACAGAGCTCAATAAATTGAGCTCAGGTGGCTTACGCGCATTGCTCAGTCAACATCTCTGTCTAGCTTGGATTAATTTTGTAGCATAAACAAATGTGAGTTTGGATAATGGGCAGAATGTGATTGGTATCACAGTTTCAGAGGGGGAAAAAAAAAAGAATTTCCTGGATTTCTATACATCCTTTTCCTGAGAATTTCAATAGTCTGAACATACATGATTGATTTCAGTCTCGTTGCACCTTCAGAGGTGTCTACCAAATTTTTCAATTGGGAAACTGAAGAACTGAGCTACATAATACATAATACAGAAAAAAAAAAACTTGGATACAAAAGAACCGGGTTCCCTGAGCCTCAGTACCATGTGCAATCTGCAACAGAGCAAACAATACAAAAGTGCTCGTATGTGTCCCTGTTGATGCTGAATTATTCTATCATGGATGTTTTGCAGACTGAAAAGGTGATGGGTCAAATTCTTCTGAAGAATCTGTGGAAATAACAGCAGAGCAGAAAAGTACTGTATTGAATTATTAACTATTATTGTCATTAGAACTGTCCATACTGATAACACGTCTGGTCAAATCTGGCCTCAGATTGTAACCATTCTTCCTCCACTGCCTTCAACTAAGGATGGCATTTAATTGAGCAAAGTCTGTTCAGCATCTAGTTTGCAATGTTATTTAGGCTCCTGTGTGAGTACTGCCAACTCTCCTATATAAAAGGAGAATTGTACAGAAAAGAATGGGTAATTCCCACTTACTTTTTCCCTTTCCCCTCGCTCCCCCCTTTTTTTTTTTTTTTTTTCAGATTGACAGAGCCATTTTTTCACATCTGTTTATTTTCTGTCTTCTTTCTGTGTCTAAAAGATAAGACAACTCACCTGCCCGGATGCAGGCTATACTTAGTAGCCACCATTCAGGGACGCGAGGCAGAACTGCCAGAACTCTATCTCCTCTCTGCAAACCACATGCCTCAGAAAGTACGTTAGCTGTTTTCCTGGACAGAAATCCCAGCTCTTCAAAGCTCCACTTCACCTCCTCCCCTTCATCATTTACCCACCAAAAAGCTGGATTTGCTGGTCGCCTTCCATCCTGGAACATAGCAATAGAACATATTAAATAAAATGACAAACCTTGAAAGGTTTAGTTTCAATCAAAGCTAGCTCCAGACTACACAAACGGTCTTTGGTAATTGATCCCTTGGAGTGATGCCCATATTTCTGACAAAGAAAAGAAAATACTGCGTTGTAATTTCCAGCTGCTATTATTCAGCATCCATTATGAAAATTGTTCTTTATTGTCTAATATTTGTTTCACTGTCTATAAAATAGAAGAAAATCACCACCTTTTCCAGTTGCAACCACTCATCCAAGACATCACTTGCAAAGTTGAAGTATTTGGGTAGTTCCTTTTCACACCGGTTTACAGAGTCATAATATGAAATAATCCGGGATGTAAGAAGCCTGTTACATCCATGGAAAAGTCTGGAAGGCGACCTCAGAATCTGCAGGCACTGAGGAATCCGGGATATCATAAATGTCCTCATGATAAACGAAGATTTATCGGGCAGTGGGAAAAAAATCCAGATGAACACTTACAGGGATCAGACATCTGCAATGAAAGAAACTGTGTTTAGAAGCAGCCAGGTATTTTTTTGTCCATCTTTGATCTCTAATTTTTCAGCTCATGAATGAATCCCGTATCTCTTGACTCTTCTGAGTTTTGGTCGCAGAAATGAAATGGTCTAGTGCTCAAAGCTAGAAAATGCGTTGAGCTCAGGACACTTTGTATATCAGATTGATACCAACTATGATATCTATGATACAATTCTATGATTCAGGACTGTGAAATTACGTTATGTCTTACATGCACACTAGGTGGCGATTCTCCACACCAAATAATTCACCTGTAAAACTGAGTATCTTTTTCCTTGCGAGTTCTGATTTTGCTGGGGGCATGGAATAAACTCAAACAGTCTGCAGGCAAATATGAAATTCCAAAATCTTCCATTTCTTCTTCACTTAATCTGAAAGTGCATCACCATTTACACATTGTAAAACATATGAAGAAAATTCCATCACTTCTGTCCTACACAACACACAGGCACATGCAGTTATTTGCAGCCCAGCTTGGGAATTCAAAAAAATTGGCTTTTCTTTACTCATAGATGCAGAACCACCTGATTAAATTTATGAGCTTAGTCAAGTCCCTAAGGATCTAGTGACCTTGTTAAATCTAAGGGAACCTTAGATTTCGTATTATTCTCCTCTTATTCCAGTTTCCCTCCTGGAGATTAGAAGCCCTTTTCAAATTTGTGCTTATTCCCCTGTAGAAGATTTCCAGAAGAGATTTGATCTGATTGCTGTTTGTTTCAGTGGCAGACAGGGAAAAACCGGTTCTATAAGCAGATGCCTTTGTCTTCCCACCTGTGCTCTGGGAACCTTAGGTTCGGGTAGCTTACAACAGGGTATGTTCAGATCAAATAGGTCTTGTTCCTTTTCCCCTGTTATTCTGAAAGATGGTTTTTACCCTCTTAGGACAATACTTGCAAGACAGCTTTGGAAAAGAGATGAATAACAGATGTTTTTTCTGTTATTGAAGAGAAAACAACCACAAAGTCAAACAGGAGACTCTTATCTTCCTGCTTTTTTTCTTCCTTCCCTTTAGAACCTGATTGCTGTGTCTGTATTTACGTGTGATCTTATCTTGAAAGCAGCCTGAGTATACAGCTCTCTGATTTCATTAGTCAGCCTGAACAAGTGCTAATCAGACACGTCTCAAGGTGCATTACAACCCAAAGCCTTTGAGATTTACAAGGAAGAGTTCACTTGAAACCAAGCCTTCATCACACCAGGTATGAAAACAACCTAAACTGAAGCAATCTGTCAACTCCAAGAAGTGGAGACTAGCACATCAACCACAATCAATTTCACCAACCACTTTTGAGAAGTACCCTCCTAATAGTAAATTTTTCATCCTTTAGCTTAAGAGCATGAAAGAGTGAAGCTACACTTTTATCTCTTCAAGAGAAACATTTCTTTCACTGTTAGCTTGGTTCTTCTGAACTGGACAGATCCATCCTCAAGTCATCTCTGTCCTTGCTTTCTGATCAGACCTCTAGAGACACTGCACCTTTGAGTGTACTCTTTAGGCTACAACTTTCAACATGGTTTAAGGATTGTAAGTGTTCCTACTACCGTTAGAGACTGGCAAATATTTTGGCTTCAGAGTTCACACTTGAAAGCTATCCAACAGTTGAAAGGAAACATTTGGAGCCTTCAGTTACTGTACAGACACTAGCTAACAAATTTGGGTGACAAGCTGTTCACATTGCATGAAATCTTTCTATAGCTGGGAATCAACAGCAATATGCTCTGGTTTAACCTACAAAGTAGGTATCTTTGTTGAGCTACAACATGGTACTTCATCAGAGAGCTTACCATGAATCAATCTGCAGGATGTAGCTTTGCAAGCACAGCAGACAAACAGGTATTAACCAGAGGAACAGCTATCATCTAGTTTTCCTAGTGCTTGCCCAGGGGGGCTGTGGATGCTCCATTCCTGGAGTTGTTCAAGGTCAGGTTGGATGGGGCTCTGGGCAATCTGATTTAGCACTTGATCAATAGCTTGGCATCCCTGCCCATGGCAGGGGATTGACGGTCTTTGAGGTCCCTTCCAAGCAAAGCCATTCTAAAGTTCTATGATTCTATGATCCTATGACTCCAGTTACCTCACTGTCCTCTCTGTAGCTCTGTGCTGGGTTACGGCCACAATAGCATGTTGTCAAATTGACTTATGCTTCGGAGGCATGTTTCCCCTCCTGTGCTCTCCACCTTCTCTCCAGGGTTCTTATTACTTACAGCAACTGTCTACCTATTATCACAGAAATTGTTTTTCCAAACACTGTTAGAGATGGGGAAGTAATGACGTTAACCTTCCAGTGGAAAGGTGCATTTGGCTCCACTGGTGGTAAATTTAACAACCTTATCAGCTTCTAAGTTCGGCTGATAAAACAGCAGCCATCTGAGCAGCAAATACTGCTGCTTAGTGCTCCTTTTCTCCTTTCTTTTTGGTCACCCAATAAAGGCAGGGCAAGATGAAGACGCATCAGTTCTTTCTGCCATTGTTATTTCTCTCAGGTTTCCTGGATGTAGAGAGCATAAGCCCGAATGAAAGAAAGCTAAGGAAAGCCAAACTCCCTAAAATAAGAAAGGAGAACAGCGTACTCTTGCTGAAAAAGAACAACTTTGACAGAGCATTGAAGGAAACGAAGTACCTGCTGGTGGAGTTCTGTGAGTATCAGCTTTTGTCTGTGTCTTATCCTGAAGCTCTGCAGAGCACGGCTGATGCTGGAGCACAAAGGTATGCCTGTTCTACTGTTGCTTTGTCCTCCGACAGCCCTTCTTCTATGTCCACCATGTCTCTATTTCTGACAGTAACTACAATCACTGATTCCTTTTTGGAGTATTTGAGCACTGGCTCACTCCATAAAACTGATACTCAGATAGGTTTACATGCGTGCAGCTCCAACTTTGCATTCCCTGCTTCCACTGCCTAATCTTGCAAGTGTGTTTCACAGCGATGATGAGTGAAACTGTGTTCAAAAATCAGGGAGGGCTTTCCTCTCTCGTACATTTTCATGTACGAGATTTATGCCAGATGGCATCTCTCCTCTGTAAG